AAATTTTTTCAGTTTTTGTGTCGTTGTTGACTCATTGTTACGTTTTTTGTTTTTGGCGTAAATAAAAGAAAAGAAATAGAAGAAAAAAAATAGAATCTAAATCTTACACGTCATCTAATGTATCATTTACAACTATGGAGAACAAGAGTGATGCACACGAAGAGTTTTATTTTGATTATATTCGATTACTTGTCGAAAATCGAATGCTTCATCGATCAGGTTATTATTTGGGTGCATCGAATTCATTTGTTCGTTTATTTACTATTACTGCTCGTCGATATTGGCTTGCACAAGCTACAAGTGAACATATAACTGCTGATTGGAAAGTTCATTTTTCAATTCGACCTCGCGATATTTCTTTAGCATTTAATCTTCTATCTGAACTTTATTATCAGATGAAATTACCCATTGGTCTTAAAGCTCGATATCCAGATCATTGGAAAGATTATGAAAATGAATGGCCAAAACATATGCGTGGACGAGAAATAACTGTTTATATTTTTCTTTATGAAAATACAGTAAAAACTAATCAAACAATGGTTTATTCAAGTAAGAATTTAAATCAATCAAAATATATGATTGATTGGATATTATCATCAACAAAAGATATATATGAAAATCATGATTTAAAAAAAACGGATGAAATTCCACTTGATCGATATCTTGATTATGTTGATCAAGCAGAGAAATTACTTGAACAATATCGAATAGAATCTAATGGATGTGCAGATGGTGATTATCCAATTGGTAAATATACTTCATTACGTAATGAAAAATTTGTTGCTATTGAAGATTATGATGATAATACAAAAATACGACTTATCTATCCACCGAATGAATGTGGTTATAATGGATCAAAAGATAAACGTGATTTAACTAACGAAATAGTTGATTTAAAAACATATCGAATAAAAAAGCGACAAAATAAAATAATAAAAATAATATTTTTCATAACAATTATTTTTTTATTAATTGTTTTTTTAATTAATTTACTTTAATTAAAAGAAAACATCAAATTGAGTTCATAAAAGACCGAAAAATACATAGTTGTAATTACCATGTTATCACCTTGAATCAATTAATAGTCATTTAACATACACATTCAGATGTGTAAAGAGAGTAACTATCTATATTGATTAGATTGATGTGTCTTTGATTGGTACAAAATGGATATTGTCACTCAAACGTGTCATGATAATGAATATTCTCATCAATGTCCTCCAATTATCAATCAGGTATAGGTAGGTGGATGTACAACATTTGCCAGCCCAGTCGAGCGATCGGTTTTTTTACAAGACGCGTCATTTTTTCTATGTACAAGAAGAAAAATGAAGCGAAAAAGTAGGCAGACGAGAGTCAACTACGTTAGAATACGTTGTTGCGACACGGTTCATAGATTGTGTGCATCCGTTTTCGTTGTTCACTGAAAGAGAGAGAGAGTGCGTCCCTTTTTTTTTTCTTCATCATCATCTACATTCGATATGGAGGAAAAAAACACATTCGTTGAATATAACGTCTCTCCTTTTTACTTTCATTTGATACATTTTAGCTCTCCATGATGCAGCAAGTGTCTCCACCACCACCAATTCAAACGCGTTATCCTCCACCTTATCATCAATATCCTACTGTTCCATCATTATCAACATCATCATCATCATCCCTACTTATACCTCAATATTCAGCTATGAATAGTCCTCAATCAATAAATTCTATTGATGCAACAGTATTTGGACCAAGTGTACCACCATTTAAAAGTTCAAAAATAAATAATTCATTATCATTACCACGTTCAAATGATGTTGATTTTCGTCGTTTAATCTTATTTAATGTACCGATTGATTTAATTCGAGAATATCTCGAGCTTTATATTGAACATTTATCAGGTGAAGCTGAAATTGAACGAATCGATTATTCTAATCTTGATGATACAACTGTTATGGTTACTTTTAAAACTGAACTTGGTTGGTTTAGAGAAGAAAAAAAAAAAAAACTTCTTTTTTTTTCTTTCTTTTGTCTTTTTCAAAAACAAATAAAAAAAATTATTTTGTTTTATTAAGATATGGCAGAAGTACGTCGTCGTCATTCAACCCGTTCAAAATTACATGATTCAGAAATATCTCTAGCTGAAGTCACACCACCAGCAACTGTAATGATACGAAATTTACCATCCGATGTATCTCGAGATGTACTTGAATTATATTTTTCAAATCGACGTCGTAGTGATGGTGGACGAGTTATTGATGTTACACTTGATGATGAACACCAACATGCACTTGTTACATTTTCTGATCATAAAGGTTTTTTAAATGAAAAAAAAAATCTATTTAAAATTAAATTATTTATTTATTTAAGATGTACGTCGAGTTACTAAACGTGAACATTTAATACATGGTCATCGTCTTGATGTACGAATCTATTATAAACATATGGGTATTGAACCATTTACAGATGCATCGAATGTTGGTAAACAACCAGATCCAATACGTTATCGTATATGTGATGATAGTCGTTATTTATTTTTACTTAAAAATCGTCCATTACTTAATGAACTTCGCGAACAATTAAAACCATTAAATGGTTTTGTTAGTTTACAAACCGAAGGATTTTTAGAAATCATATTTAATGGTCCACGTTCTACAGTGAAACAACGTTTTCAATGGACAAAAGATGTAGAAAAATTAGTCGAACATTTTCTAACCGAACGTTTAGCTATACAAAAAGTACCATGGAATAATAATAAAATACCAGCTATTGGTCAAGAACAACTTGCAGATCTTTCGTTAAAAGATAATACTCGTCTTATGCAATTAGGTCCATCGGAAGGCCAACCAAATCATATTGTTGTAACAGCATTAAAAGAACATCTTGATCGAGCTTTAAGTGAACTTACTGATATGCTCACCGGACCAGGACCAAGACCAACACCAACTCCTAATAATAATATTCCTTTAAACGATGCTGTTTATCGTAGTAAACCAGTGAGTACAACACGTGATCCAAAAGTAAATAATCAACGATCATCTTTATTACTTCGTTCATCACCATTAACACAAAGTACACCTGATATTGAATTACCTCCACCATTACAAAATATAAATATTGATGATCATATTGATAAATTACGTTTATATCAACTTGATTTACTATCAATGCGTTTTGTTGATTTAGCTCGACGAACGTATGGAGATTTAAGTATTGACATTGATCGAGTAGGACGACGTGTTCATTTACGTGGTCCACCTGATCAAGTTGCTGTTTGTAAAAATTATTTTGAATCAATACTTCATGGAATTGTTCATAAACATTATAGTATAGGTAAAGAAATGGCAGTATTTTTATCAAATCCCGATACTGGTAAGTTAAAGAAAAAACAAAACAAAACACTTTATTTCTATTCTAATCAAATTGCCTTTTTTTTCTTTATCTAGTTGGAGTAATAATTGCATATTTAACTAATACAGATCATGTATGTGCTTATGAAATCGAACGTATAAGTAATAATCATCGACGAAGTGCCGTATCTCCAACACCGAATGTGAATAGTCTTGGTGCAGTACCAAATCATGCTTCGTCAGCAGCAATAAATACTCATCATAAACTTGTTTTATATGGTTTAACACGTGATGGTTGTGATCGTGTATTCGATATACTTCGTCATGATATACGTGTTCGTTCAATAATGTTAGATAAAGATGATAGACGTTGTTTAGCAAGTGAATCATGGCATGCATATGTACGTGAACTTTATTCAAATCCAGGTGGTTTTCGACGTCGGCGTGTACTTTTACAAGTAAAACAAAATCAATTAACATTAGTTGGTTTTGGACAAGATGTTGATGCAATGCGTAGACGTATTTCCGATTATTTTGTTGAAAATGCCATTTCATTCTATGAATCAGATTGAACGACTACTCATCAGGAAACAAACGAAAGATTAAAGGAAAAGAAAAGAAAAATTGACAAATTTTTCTTTCTATTATTGTTGTTTTTTTTTTTATTACGATTTTTTAATTATTTATTTCAGTTGTAGAGTTCGAAATATTACTCGTTTATGTTATGTGTTAAAACTAAGACAAATTAGTATGAGAGAAAAAACGTTTATTATAAGTTTTGGATGTTTCTTTTTTAACTTTGAATTTGATAATAAATTGATGTTTAAAACCATGTCTTGTAAAAACAATGGTTTCGTTTGTTTTTTTTAGAGAAATTATTTCAAAAATCCGTACGTTTATTTGATTATGAAATTCCGTATCTTATTTATATGGATGAAAGGTTTAAATAACTGATAAAATTGTTATCAATCGATAAAATTTACAGACGTTTTCCGGTGATCAATTATAAAAAGCTTGAGCCACATATTATAAGCAAGGATTTTCTATTTATTATTATTTGCTGAGATAAAATGAGAATTTAAAAAATTATATAGATTTATTTCTAGATAAAAACTTATTAACATTTGTCATTTGTTTCGTCAAAATCTTTTATATTATTTTGATTATCCATTAATTGAACTTTTTGGTGTGAAGGTTGCTCATTAAGAATTTTTGATAGACCAATTATAACTACACTACAAATAACTAAAGCAGAACCAAGTAATGTAAATAAATCTGAACGTTTTGTTGTAAAAATATTTTGAAGAATTAATGCAAAAATTATATCCGATGAACCAAGAAGAGTAAATATAGATGGATTTTCACGTTTCATAGCTTTTTGTACTAATAAATTCACTGCAATTATAGTCAGACAAATAACTGATGCTAATATATATCGCCATGAAATGACATAATTAATTGTAAGACCAGTATCAAGGATAAATTTTCTATATAATTGATTAATAATGAGAAGTATAAATACAGCTAAAGAGTATTGAAAAGTAATTACACTTGGTTTAATATTTTTTGAAGTTGAAACAAGTCGTTTGAATACTAAAATATTTGTTGATGATGTTATTGCACCAATAATTGATAGACTTAAGCCAATTAAACGATGATTATTGTTCACAGATGAATTTGACGAAGATGAAAATAGAAAACTTGGTCGAGTAACAAAAATAACACCAGTAATAGTTAATGGTAAAGCGACTAAGATGCTTATTGATGGTCGTTCTCGATATATAAAAATACTAAAAACTACGGTCCAAACAACTTTTGTATAAAATAATGTTGTTACATCAGATAATTCAGCATAATCTAGAGCAATATAATAAATGAAAAGGCCTCCAGCACCTGTTGCACAACATATAGCTTGTAGAAATATTTCAAAAGGTGTACCAAATAGAAATGGATACTTTTTATAGCGTATAAATGAAAACATGATTAATAGTTGAACAACGAAACGTAAAAATAATGCACCAAGTAGATCAACACCTATTTGTTTTATTGAAAATGTTGCACATGTAAAAATAAGAGATGCTAGTAAGGAATAGATAACACCAGAAAATCGCATATAACAACCATTTTTATTTCCTAAATCTTTTTTCATCGATAGATCATTGATACTTAATGTTGATACTGCTGGTGGAAAAAACGCAATTGCTTCAATAGGACCATCACTCGAGTCCGAATCATCTTCATAAAGACCGTTTTCTTTCAAAGACATCATAGAGTATTGATAAAAAGAATAAATTTCTTAATGATTGTAACTTGATAAAAGTATCTACTAGTCATCAAAAAGGATTAAAGTCAAGGAATCGAATGATTTATGAGTATCATTTTAACAACGTAGTAGACAAGTGCATTTAATAAAGGATAAAAAATGTTCTTCAAGAGCAAAATTTCAATAATAAACTCAAATGTCCTAAAAGAACTATTTAGTTTTTGTTATATTCATTGTCAAGACGAATATAAAAAATACGAAGGACTTTCAAATTACAACAAAAATGATGTGATGCAGTCGTAAACAATGTCCTTCATATAATGCATTATAGTCATTAGTTTTGACCTAGTAGTTGAATGATTTTAGAAATGAAAATAAATAATGTTGACAATACAGACAACAATTTTCATTCTAATATATTCTCTGAATATTGTTGTTACTATTACAATTAACAGCCATGCATAAAAAAATACAGTTTCAACTACGTGAACTTTTCTTTTATGGATAATCAAAAAAATAATATAAACGATGACTATTTAACTACGTCGTTTAACATGCTTTATAGATATTAAATACATATAATTTCGTTATGATCTTGACAGATGATGGTTTTAATTAAAAAGCTACCATCATCATTGATAGATCGAATATCTTTTTAATAAACTACATCATGAAAAGAAGTCAAAAGCGATTATCTTAGATTATATTTATTGTTATTCGACTGTTAATGTGATATTTTGTCTATTTCTTCGCTGAACATATTTCTTTCCAGTTCAATCTAGAATAAAACACGTGTATTTTTCTATTCTTCTTATTTAAAATTCTATCGTTTATTCGATCGAATTGTATTCATTCGTATCTTTCGCTCGACATGAACATGTTGTTCGTTTTAATTCTATTTTCAAATTTACTGTTCAATGTATGAAAGTATGTTTTTTTTCGTCATAATTTTATTAATTCATTGTCATAAAAATATTTTTTGTAAATAGACACATATATTCCAAAACCATTCCTTTGTCATTATGAGACGATTTCTTCGTCACCTGTACAATCATTATATGAAAACAATATACAACAACAACAACAGTCTGTCTATGTATCATTGGAATCAAGTTCATCAAATGAAAACAAAGCAATTTCAAAACCAATTACACCTTCGTTTCAGAGAAATTTTCGAACTGCATCGATAGCTATTTTAGGTTTTTTCGAATTATTATCTGGATTAATTGTTCTTGGAGTTGCATTATTGATTTTCGATATTACTCTTGGACTTTGGTGTGGAATTATATATACAATCGCTGGTGTAGCTATTATTGTGCTTGGTTTGTTTAAAAAAAGCTAATTTATTTTAAAATAAAATATTTTATTTAATTTTTAGTTATTGGAACCAATCGCGAACGTTATCAGACGTCAGTTGTATTGATTTTTCAATTAGTTGGTAAGAAAAATTCATTGCCCTAATGTCCTTTTACAATCTATTATTTGATTTTATAGCATTGATGTTTACGATTATCGATATATTATTACATAGTGATCTATATCGAAAACAATGTATAACAAAACCAGATGAACCAACACGTGAAATAACATTTTCTTGTCAGATAATTATGGTTCAATTAGCTGCTGCTGCACTAGTGCTTGTTAGTACTATTGTATTTTCGATAATTTATCTTCGAGTAACAATGATTGTACTTAAACAACCACATAAAACTTTTAACATGTCGAATGCCATTAATTTAACTACTTGTTAAAGATTTTAACATTGATCATTTTATTTTGTATTGTGTTTTTCATATATATCTGTATGTATCAATTATCTAATTAAGATAGAACGCTCTTTTTTTTATTTATTTATTATATTTTTTTTTGATAAAAAAACCGTAAATGAATATATCATAATGATTCCATCGAATTTTTGTATTATTTTTTTTTAAAGAAAGAATTACTGAATAATATTTTTTGGAAATTTGTGATTATGTAGGAAGATATAACTAAAGGATTTTCAATATGTATAATTCTCCTACAGAATTTTATAAACAGGCAAGTAGTTATCAAGTATCACAATTTATTTTTTTTAATATTATTCAATTTTGTTCGTTACACACGAAGATTTCGTATTACAATACTTGTTGTATATTATCGAGCTGTAATTTATAACTAATATTTAGCCATGACATGTCTACCACTTATCTTCTGTCACATAAATCACTTGCTGATAATAATAAAAAATGCATGCTATTTATAGTAGTTGAATATTTATTCGGTGAGACATACAATATTGAAATAAAAAATATTTGCATAGTACTTCAGTATCAGACTCCTAATTAAAATAACCATGCCATATGGTACTAAAATGCTTATAACGTTTTTTTATACAATGATATTAATGTCCGTTTGTAATCTTTATTGATTATCACAGGGTTTAAAAATAAAACAAAGATTTCATTAACTAATTATAAAAAACTATCAGGTTTATTCTTTTTTGTGACATATTATATTTAGTGTCCATAGGAGCATAATAGCTATAATTACTTTAATAATTCCATCCATATTTAAATTTTGTGAATTATTTTGTTCCATTGGTTGTGGTGTTGTTAAACGATCAACTAATTTTAATAATAATTCATTTTGATCTAATGAACGAGTTACAAGTTGTTGTAAATATTGTTCATTATTATTATTATTATTATTTTGTTTTTCATCTTCATCATCGGATCTTTCACCATCTGATAAAACTTGGGATGTTTCAGTAAATAATTCTTGACGAATTTTTAAAATAAGATCAGATAATTCACTTCGTTTTAATCGAGTTAAATGATGACGTTTCTTTTTTATTGATTGTTTATATTCACGAATAATAGCATCAAAACGACGAGAATTTACATCATTTGTAAATGTTGATGCTACACTAGGTTGTGGCGGCATTGATAGTAATTTCATTGGATTTATCATTGGGCCAGGAGCGGGTGTACGACCTAAATTTATTTTATTATATTATATTTCATCGAAGAAGAAGAAACAAACATACGAGGTTGCAAAGATAATTTTCTTTCAACATAAGTTATTTGACGAATTAATTCATTAAATGATTGATCAAAATCTTCAGATTCAGAAAAATCAATATGGACATTTGAACCTTTAATAATACCTAACCAACTCTGAGCACGGAATGATTTTTCCATTAGACATGGAATAAATTTAATTCGATTTTCAGCTGCATATTCTGCTTCTATAAACAAAAAAACACGATTTATTGAAGTTTAAAAAAAATGACAAACAAATTTTGATTTACCTAATCGACAATAATCACTTTCATAGTATTTTTGGCTAATACAAAGTAATACAATATAAGAATTCTCTACAGCACGTGCCATACTAACAAGTATATCATCAGCCATATCTGTTAAATCCATCCAAACTTTATAATTTTGTGCCTAAAGAAATCCGAATAGAATTTTTTTTTTAATTCTAAAGTTTTATATATACATACCACAAGACCATCATAAATTCTCTGGCATGTTTGACGTGATGAACGATTATAACTAATCATGATATGTCGTTTATGAGGTTGATTACTAGTTGTAGTTGTATGTGTCGTTGTTTTTGATATAGTCGAAGAGGATTCGTAATGATCTGAAATATAGAATTTTATATAAAGATCAATATTTTAAAATGTTTTACCTGTTTCTTCATCTTCTGTACATTGTTCAACAACACCATTAGATATTTCTTCTGCTGTTTCAGTTCGATTTTCATCTACTTCTTCACCATTTTCCGTTGATGGTGTACTCACAACACTGTCATAAAGAAAATGTAATTGTTTAGCAGCTACATTTAGACAATCGGTAATTCCACTGGGTAATTCTGAGACTGTAACAGATGTAACTGTATTACTTCCATTGATTTGCTCTTCGCAAGTATCTGATAATAAAGCTTCATCAATATTTTGTTCATCAACAGATATATCTAATAGAATATTTCAAAAAAAAACATATTTATAAACATATGTATAGCTTACCATCGTTTATAGTATGTGATGACATATCTAAATTAAGTGCGACATCCACCATTTCCTATAGAGAAAAAAAATATCAATAGAAATTATTTTTTTTTGAGAATTATTTTACTCGAAATTCATGTAAATTAGAGGATTCATTATTTTCAGACATTGATAATTTATTATCAGGAGAATTGGATATTGTTTCAGCCATAGAATATTGTATATTTCACTTCGTTACGAAATGTTTTATCACTATTGACAGTGGTCCATGTAGAAAAGAGCAAAACAAATACCTGAAAAAAGTCAATTTTACCTATTTATGTTCTGTATTATGAAATAATGACGTGTTTATTATGTGTGATTGATGTCGCTATGTAACATACGTACGATATTATACTTGAATTTTTATCGTATATGGCAAAATCTTTTTATTCCTATATTTATTCATCACATTGTTAGATGAAATAAGACAAGCGATAGAAGCTTAAGGTAAATGACAAATAACAATATATATATTTGTTCTATATTTGATTGGTTATTGTCAACAGCGAATCTTCTTTGATAATTTCTAGTCATATGAAAGACCGAGATCTTATTTAATTAACAAATAGATAATTAAACATTGATATTGATTTAAAATTTAGATTATTATTTATTGTCTAGTCAAGTTTTCGTGATTTGTTTTATTATAGCCTATAATAATATACTCAATATAAGTTGAAAAAAAAGGATAGATCTCATGGATATCATATTTACCCACGTGATATTGTACTTAAGTGTGAGATCAGAATATTTATTTTATTCGAAAGAATGTTCAATGATGTTTTGAATTAATTCAATTTAATTTTATAGAATAAAAGTATTTCTATTCAAGATTTTTAGTTTTTTTATAAATATAAAAGAATAACACATTATTATATATTTATTGTTCTTTTATGTACCGAAAATACACCTAATGATACGCCCAGTAATACCTTTTTCTTCCTTCTATTCAAGTTTTTTCTTGATGATGAAATACTTTCACGTGATTATACATTTATATTTATATATTGCATCATGTTGTTTGTTGTAGATACGTTTGTTTCTCCTTTTTTACTAAAATCTTAAAAATGGTTTTGAAAGGAGCAGCAACAATGATTGTTCGACTAAGTCGAGCAATTTTATCTCACCCGTTGAAGTCAATACATGCTCCACGTGTTTATGAAATACCAAAAATTAATAAGAATCCACAAGTTTATACAGAAGGTCCACTACGTTATTATTTATTTCCATCGGTTTACCGATCATTTTTTACCCATTATGGACCATCAATTGGTCGTTATCATCAAAATCTTTCTTATTTATTGCCATTTCGAGCGGCACTTAACGAGATCAAACGACGACTATTCTTTGCTGGTTTGTATTTTCATTCTTTGTTCTTTTGATTGAATGTTTCATATATATGCACATCACTATTCTCAATTCTTCTACACACTTAAAAATAATGAGAAATCGTGAAAGAAAACGAAGAGTTTTTTTGTGGCTGTCCTGTAATAAAAATTGTATACAAAAAAAACGAACTTGTGCCATAGAAAGAAGAAACATAGTAATCATAAAACTGATGAAAGAGAAGGGTAAATTCTTCGTCTCTTCTTTCTCTCTTTACAAGTACATAGCACAAATCACCATTCAGCAGACCAGGACAAGTATATTTTGTCTCCGTTCAACATCATCTGTAGTGTAACAAATGAGGTGAACGAACGAGCAAATGAGTTTCTTTTTCTCTTCTCTTCTCTCTCTCTCCCTCCCTCTCTCTCTCTCTCTTTTTCTATCAACTGACTAGTGATCTCGAGAGAATAGAAAATGTTATAGTAAACGTCTGTTAGAGGAAAAGAAAAAAGCAGACATTGATGATGATGTGTTGTGATGAGATGAGATGAGATGACAAGCAGAGCGACTGCTACAGGTCTTATCCGTATCATATTTTATCGACAAACTTGAACCTGTATATTAATCTTTATGCAGCTCTACTTATTTATACATTCTTTTTTTTTCCTCTCTCTTCTAGATTAGTTGACCTCGACCATAGGCATATGTATTCCTTTCTCTTCAATAGTTCTTATTGAGCATTGGATCATCATACCGAGTCGAGCATATAACTTATCAATTATTTTCATCAGGGGTATATTTAAAAAGATTTAGAAAACTAATCATACAGTTCATTGCTAAATTTATTTGTAAGTTTCACTTGTTAAGCAAACTGACACCAAGAAAAAAGAGAAGGTTCTATTCCAAGTTTCTTTTTTTCACTTCCTTCCGTTCTTTGATAGAAACAAAAGCAATCGTTTTTCTTTCAATCTTTTATCTCAATAATGAATCTGGTAGACAAACATACTATAATTTCTTTTCTTTCTTTTTATATATTCTAGCTCCAGCTAGTTCTCGCTTTGCTTTAAATCTTCTCGGCTATTCACTTCTAACAGAATCTTCATTTAATCCTATTCATATTGATAAATCTATCAATCAAATTGGTGATCTTCTATCGAAAACTACTACCGTGGATTCATTCAATAATGACAATGAAAAATATACTCGAGCATCGCTCGATGATTTTGAATTAGGACGTTTACTTGGTTATGGTTGTAATGCAGCTGTTTATGAAGCAAGATTACGATCATCAACATCGGAAGGTACATCTCCTATACAAACAACTTTTATTCATAATGATGATAATAATACTGAAAGTGATATTGAAATACTTTCACGTCAATCATCCAATATATCATCAATATACGATGAAACATGTGAACATCTTGATAATGAACAACAACTTAATGATTTAACATTAAGAGAAGGTATGAAGAAAAAAAATATATTTTTCTATAACTGAAATGAATTTAAGTTAACATGATTTATCAAGAAAAACATAATAAACTTGAAAATCTTCTGTTTTTCTTCTTATCAACTATGTATACAAATTTGATAGTTATGATTATGTAGACAAGGTTATATATTCATAAGGATTTTTATTTCAAGAATCTATCACCTTGATCTAAGGTCTCACTTTGTGTTATTATGAGTTTTAATAAACATAGTCAATCAAAGAAAGTAAAATGAATAAGAATGATTTCCAAAAATAGATTACGAAGAAATAATTTTCGAATCAGTTAAAGGTCATCAACTAATATTGTTACTATGAAAGATGATTATAATTATCTTTAAGATATATTTTGTTATTTTATATGGAAGCATGTATAGACTCAATATATTACGTGCTTTCCAGATGTTTTATTTCTACGATAAATCTAATCAATCAAACAAACCCTAGTAATTATAATGAATACTGTCATCATAATCATCATGTACAATAAGAATGTCGAGAAAAGAAAAGCTCTATAGAAATTGATTGATTAACATATAAATGTCAAAAAATTGAATAAATTAAAACATGAAATATTTTTTTTTAGTTCGATATCGAGCTTTAACTAATTTAAATAATTCATCGAATGTTGAATCTGATATATTACCAGGTAAATATTTATTTTGAATAATATATTTCAAAATAATAATCTACTGTATTTCTAGCTGGTAAATTTAATTTAGCAATAAAAATGTTATTTAATTATGGTATTCAATCGAATGCTGAAGCACTTGAAAAAGCAATGGACAAAGAATTATTACCATTACGTAAATGTTCTTATCATCCGAACATAGTTCGTATGTATTCATGTTTTGTTGATACATTTCCATTATTACATGAAGCACAAGAATATTATCCAATGGCTATACCATCAAGTTTATCACCTGATGGTTATGGAAGAAATAAAACATTATTTATCGTTATGAGAAAATATGATTTAACATTAAGTGAATATATTCGTTTAAATAAACCAACACATGATGAACGTTTAGTACTTTTTGCACAATTACTTGAAGCCTTATTATATTTAAAACATCGTTCAATTGTACATAGAGACTTAAAAAGTGATAATCTTTTAGTATGCAATTTAACTGGAGAACTTGTTTTAGCTGATTTTGGTTGTGCATTGTATCATCCACCAAATTTAAAAGTACCTTATACAACTGATGAAATTTGTAAAGGTGGAAATCTTGCTTTAATGGCACCAGAGGTAATTTAATTTTGACGAAAAGAAAAACACTTGAATAATAGAACTCGTTTTAAATCTTTTTTCTCTCTCTCTATTGTATTAGATTGTAGCATGTCAACCAGGTCCAAAAAGCTTTCTTGATTATAATAAAGCTGATCTTTGGGCAAGTGGAACGTTATGTTATGAGTTTTTTTCTCAACCCAATCCATTTTTTCATGGTACATTTCGACAAGATACATATAATGATCAACAATTACCATCACTTTCTCCATTAGCATCACGAACAATTGAAAATCTTGTTCATTCAATGTTACGTAAAAATCCTAAAGAGGTATTTTAATATTCATTTTTATTTCTTGTATTTGATTTTATTGTTTTCTTCTTAGCGTCCATCTATATCTCGTGTTAGTGATTGTATTCATTTATATCTTTGGTTTCAATCAACAGCTTTAACTATGACAAAAAATGAATTTTATCAAACATATATGTGGACAGCTTTGGAAACATTATTTAATAAACGTACATTATCATTTGTTGAACTTAATTTAAAAAAACTTTTCTTTCAACGACAATCTTCTCAATCATTGTATGATGCGCAATCGTATCTTAATCAACTTTCAATGTATATTTAAAATAATCAAGCATATTTATTTTTATATATATATATTCTGTATATTAAAATAAAAATTCAGTAAAACAAAAGAATGTTTTGTGTGCTTTTTTTCTTTCGGGTCATTGCGTATTCAATTAATAATGTGCGAAATGTTTGATTTGATAAAAATTGTGAGTTAATTTGAATAAGTATAATGGTGAATATATAGATTTTAAAGGCCTTGATAATTAAGTTCGCGTGTCAGTTGAATAGCTGAACAGCATGGGCAAAATGTTGTAACACAACAGTCGTGAATTAAATTACCCTAGAACAAAAAAAGTCATTAAAACCTGATTTCTTCCATGTCAAAGAGTTAATTTTATTTATTATTTTAAAAAAACATTATCATATCTCATAGTAGTGGCTTATTTAAAATGCAAATTTTTCGCATTTGATATTAGGATTTGCACTTGCATGTTTTATGAGATTAAACTGACATAAATATTCATAATCAAATAAAATATGAACACGTTTATAATTCTAATAGAATAATGAAGTAATATATTTCATTTTATTACCTAACATACTATAGGGAAAACATGCCGACTTCACTGTAAAATTCTAATAAGAAAATATCGTGTAAAGGTCGTATGACTATCAGCAAGATATATCTAACAGTCAATATTAAAGAGGTCTTATCGAGATCAACTGTGTTTTCAATTGGTAATACTAAGCTTAACGGTACTGATTACTGCGTAAGTATTGATATCAGATTCTATCAAATGTCTTTCGTCTTATCCTTGAATGCAAATTTCAATATATTCTTCTACAATGTTCGTTTTTGATTTAATATTACCTCAATACGAAATGCAGTACGAATCTTTGATCGAAGAGCATATCTTGCACCAGGACATATGCATGTCCATAAATTTTCACCTGCACGATCGAATAAATTGCATTCATAACACCATGGACAAAAGAAAGCATAGCAACCTGATAAAATACGGAATAAATAATATGTATCATTTTAGTCATAATTTTATTTACATTGTTTTAAATCCGTACAGCATGAATAAAGTGGATGTGACCATAAATGTTCAAAACGCCAAACATGTCTTCCAGGTTGTGCGACAATAGCATTTCTATTGAAAAAACTAAATATTCCTTTCAAATCAAGATTGTGTATATATATTAACATACACACGAGACATTTGTTGATCTGTTGAAGGATCTTTATTCGATGAAATAATACGTGGAGGTGATTCTGAAATAGAAAAAGAATTTAGTCTATTCATAAAAAATAATGAGTGTTGAAAATCATAAAGAAATATTTGGTTGCTGTTTTCTCTATTTGAATTTTCCTATTATGTTTTACTTCATTTTCTTTTTGTCAATATTAAAACGTATTTGTAATTGACAATAACCGTTGCTAAAACATATATTTCATAGCAACTCGGAAACAAATAAAAGAAGGTTCTAATCTATATTCAATTTAAGGTGAATATCTAATAATAATAATATACCATAATGATCATAATATGTTGTCATTGTTAATATAATACGTTATAATCTTCTTTGTTTTATATTGCAAATGGATCTCTATTTTACTTTAAATAAATATCGATTATTACGATTTCCTTATTCTTATATCAATCAAGTTATAGTTTGATTTTTCTCTCTCTCTCTGTATGGCTCTTAAAATACCAATCGTTCGGCTCTTGTCAGCATCCGTTCGCTTCACTTTGTTAACTACAGAAGCGTAGCTAAACGTTCTTTCAATCATCAGAAGGTTATTTCTACCGAAAAAGTTCAGTTGTTCTATTAATAAACAATTTAACCAACTACGAGAAGCAAAAGTATTTCAGGTTTCCATGTGTATAAACTCCCGTCAATCTTAGAAACGATATTTATTTTATTTCTATATATATAGATTTTAAGCTAATTTAATTGAGAATGATTTTTTGATCTAGATTTTATTTTAATGACTATGAACGATGGATATTGTTGTTGTCATTCTTTTATACTGCATCGACATTTATTAATATTTAACAGAAAATTTAAAAATTATAAATTCAATCATTTTCCTTTTTAAAAAACTGACAGTTATAAATCATGACATTGAGTATAATATTTCATAGTTTTATTGAAGATCTTCTCCTTTATATAATAAATACCAATGAATCGAGGTATTACATTGAACTTATATGATTTCCAATCTCACTATCTAAATAGAAAACTTTATGCAATTGCTACAAGTCTAGATTTTTATCTACTTCATTTTTAAGATCTATCAATAATAGTACAATTGAATCTTTTCCTTTCTTGCTAGTCCAAAAACGCAATTCGAATTGAATTCGACATCTATAATTTATAATTGTGAATTATTATAATATCGTTTTAGTATTTCTTCAAGGATAAGACTATAAATCAGCAAGTCAATTGGCGGAAAATAATAAATATGCAGTTATAATTAATTTCAATGATCTATTATTCACGAAACAAAGAAAAAAAATTACTTCAAGTCAGCATGAATTCAGTTGAAGCAAATTCTCTTCGGCATTATTGTAAAAGTAGTTTTACACGACTCTATTCAATGTGTAGAAATCCTGATAATAATGAACTCGTTTAATCATCTTCTATGAAAAACTTGAACGTAAGCCATCTATATGCAAATTAAACATCGTTTTTTTCCCTTAAAAACAAAATTTGATTGAGATTACATTTTAGAAGAATTTACATGTATGAAAAAAAATTACATAAAAATGTTAGATAAAAAAGTTATGTTAGTTATTTTGTCGGTGCACAAATTCCACATAATAAAATAATACTAACAAGAAAAAGTAGTAAGAAAGCAACATAAGTTGCAATAATCAGACCGAATGCGCTAGAAAAAATGGAAAACAAACAATAAGATGAACTACTAGAGTCACTCGATTGAACACTTGGAAAACTTTTATATACTTGAATTTGTAGAATAACAAAAAATATAATAGCACATGCACCGATAATACCTGTTATACAACCTAAATATAATTAAAAGAAAATATTATTATCATAAATAGACAAAATAAACTAATTTACCAATGATAATAAACGATGCACGATTATTTCCTTTGGCACTTTGCTGTGCAACAGTTTGATTTTTTTGCGCTTTATATTTTGTTGGTGTTATCCTATAGATAAAACCGAAGGCTGCGGCAAAAAAAAGTGCTTGAAATACACCACCGATTGCCATTATTATCATTATATCCTGTTGAATTCGACATAGTTCAGGATTATTGACATAATGAAAACCGAACGATAATTGAACAATTGGTATAACAAGCGTAGCAAATACAAGACAACCAATTAAAATTTGTCGCCACGACATAGATGAATTTTATTTTAATCTACTTACTTTTTCGTTAAAATTTAATATAAAACTAGCTTTTTTTTATGATTCATAAAATATTTCATGTTCTTATTTTTGCTGCCATCCTGCTTACAGTTCTTTTTATCGCTATTTCAATGTCATTCAATAGTAAATTTTTCTTTTTTTTTTTCATCAACGTCATCGTCGTTCTCTTCTTGCTTTTTACTGACGAGTTTATTTAGTCGCTCCTCTTCTAAACGACCCACACAGTACATGCATTATGGCGCACAACATTCGATAGTTGACAATAATAAAAAAAAAAAGAAAAAAAAAAAGACGGAGAAAGACAGAACGAAGATGTTTACGGTATATCCATGACAATTTAAATAGGATGGAATTTTGGAAAAAAAATAAATATATCAGCGAAAATAACCTTGGCAAAGAGAAACTTCACAAAAGAGTGAGAAGGAGAGACTGTATTTATATGTCCCATCACCTTGAATATATCACAGGATAAGATTTAGTCGTCTTTCACATAGTTATCAATTTCAACTGTATTTTCACCTACAGTTGCTTCACCAGTATTAGCCGATGCTATTAAGGTTTCATTCACATCAAATGATCCTATTTCAGTTGGATTATAACGACCAAGAGTCATTTGTTCAGGATATAACCATGGTTTATAGGAAGGCTGATTTTTTGCTTTCCATTTATCGTATTTTGTGCAAGCTTTAGCTAACTTTTTTATTAACTAAAACAAAAACAAATGATTGAAATTTTTTAAATGAAAATCGACTTACTTTAGGTACGAGTACTTTGGAAACTTTATTCACAAGCCAAGCAGGTAAACTACCTGAAAACAAAAATCATCGTATGAAGAAATACATATATTCTTGTTTTCTATCGAAAATACAAACCTCCAGGATCAGATTGTGTCATATAATAAAACATACATGATGAAGGTCCTGATGGTACGATTAAATAACCTGTTAAATATGATATTCCACGTACGCAATTCTTACGCGGTTGTTCACGCTAAGACGAAAAAAAACATCTCTAAATTGAAAATTAAATATGCACTAAGACAATACATACAAGATGATTAACGGAATGATTAAGAATGTATTTTTCACTGTTTTGTCCAAAATCTAACCAACAACGTTGTGTTACAAAATCACGATTTTTAAATGGCGTTGGACTTTTAACTAAAAATTCAATACATATAAAAATTTATTATGCATTATTATTTACTTGAATAATAGCCGATATCACTATTTGGTGAAACAGAACAAATTTCATAACCTTCTAACATCGCTGTATCCCATTGTGAACGAAATTGACCATCATGTATAACATCATAAAGTAATTCACTTGATATACCATTAAATTCCGATTGCACCTACAAAGAAAAACATAAGTCATAATCAATTAAGTTCGATTTATTTGATTAAGTGCATAAAATAATATTACACGTAGAACATCAAATAATGATGAAGAATTTTTTTTAGTAGCTACACGACATGATGATTTGTCGTAACAAATTGTCCATCCTTGATCAATTGTACATTCATTTTTAAATTGACGGAAATCTTGATCATCCGGAAAGAATACTTCACCCACTTTCATCATTTTTTCGTTTTTTTTTATTACAAATGTGTGCACAGACAAATACACAATGGCAGCCGATGCTTGACGTGGCTTGCTCGTTGATCATTGGTTCTGTCTTACACAAGGCCGGAATGCGAGAGAATCTATCAATCATTTATATTAATAAACTGTCGTTGTTTCGTTGATTGAAAACTAAACCTTCACCTTTTTTTTGAATTAATCATAAGTATCTATCAAGATTGTATGTAACACCTTTTTTTGAGTAATAAATTTCGTCGTCTTTACATTGGAATTGACGTTTATTAGGGACATCTTTTGACTTTACTCGTATTGTTATAATTATATGAAATTGATACATGTACTTATGTAAAGTATATCACTTTTTTATAAGTTAGTATTATTCAGATGTGTCGTTATGTTATACATGAAATTGTATAATTTTCATATGTATGATTCAGGAAAGTAAATACTTGAAGTATTGACGAGTCTTTTATGTTGTTGATAGACGATCAAAAAACTGTTGATTGGTAAAAAATAAACAGACAATTGTTCTAAACGAAATTGAATTTCTATATTAAAATATGATCTTAGTATGTTTGTGAATTAAAAATCTGCTCATAATTATAATTTCTTAGAAATTGTTGTCATATATATTCTATAAAATCCTTTTTTGTTATATAAACGTCGAATAAGATAAAGAAATTTATCAATGTTTGATTGTAAAACAAGTTTTATTACTTACTTTTACTGTTTGAAAAGAACTTTCTATTTGTCATTATTAAGTATTACCGTCTAGTTTTTTTTTTATTGTTTGCATTCTCCTCTTTCATTCTCTCTTTTTTTATCTTCCCGCTTCCATTTCATCAGTTTTTTATATTATCTTTTTTTTCTTTTTCTTCATGATGATACCTTTACGTGATGAAACTAGTAGTTCTATGTAATTTTCACGCTTGAAATATAATATAGTTCATTATTTAAGAACAAGAAAAAGGAAATAGTAAATTGTTATAATTGTGTTGACTATCAGGACGAGTAAAAATGATGGATTTTATGCACACAACATCAAATAGATGTGTCAATTTACATAAAGAATTGCATATGTTAAATCAATGAACTACATTGCCATTATATTTCTATGGAAAGAAATGTAAATATTGTTCATTTAGCAAATAGTTGACAAGTATTGAATTGATAAAAAATATTTTTCTGTCAACGATATTTGATTATGTATCATATTGTCTCTCATTTATTGAACACGAATGATCCAATACTTTATCTTGTTTTTCCTGGTATTGATATAAAATACGACGTAGTACGTTATGTTTACTATTCTTGATATTGTATGTATACTGAACAATTATTAAAAATGTTTAACTAACATAAATAGTATTTTTAATTGATACATAAAAATAGTAATATAACCTTGTTTGAAAGGTAAAGCTATTAACAAACTCAGTAGTCGTGATATTGTCATTACGCATGCCTTATATCATTAAAAGTAAAGTAAACAGCATGCTCACCAAAGGTAAACCTATTTCCGATAGTTATGTAAGCGTACGTATATTTCTACTTGATATTCTATCAGTCAATGTCACATTAATTAAATTTGACACTGTGGACATATTCATACATCATATTATAACAAGCTTTGTAATTGCAGTTATCAATGTGACGCACAGATTGAAAAAAAACATCAATCTATTTTACTATTTATCAAATGTTGCCTGAAGAGATAAAATATCTAATTTATGTAAATAAACTTTCTATCTTTAAGCATCTAAGAGAAATAAGAATGACTGATCTGAATTAAATATGATAAGATTACTGCAGGTGTTACTCACCAATGATGAATTATAAACTTACTTTTTTTCATGATTGAGCATATACTATAGTCTTAGTTTTAATTTAGTATACTGTAAAAGCAAGATCAACTGAAACTATATATGATGTAATTTGTATAATTTTGAATAACTTCTTCATTGTAATATAAAGCAAACAAAATGAAACTCATGTAAACAGGTTATTCAAAAAGACTACGACCACTAACAAGTAGAAATATCAGCATGTGATTTAAATAATTGTGATCATGTAATACTGGTTGATATCAATTTTACCAACAGTGTAGAGAATATAAATATGATTCATCAAGCTACTGAAATGATGATTTGTTTACAGTCTTATCATTTTGATTTTTCTTTGTACAGAAACTTATTCCCACATTTGACTAATATAAACTTTATAAATATCTGTAATATGTTAACACTGTTGTATAATTTCTACAATACTTTTAATTAATTGTTATAATGTCTTCAGAAATATTTAATAACTTTCTTGTCACCTTTTCATATATTATTTATCAGGTGTAAAGTTATATTTTATTCAACATAATTTCCTTAGATACACGAAAATACTATAAATTATTTTTTTTTACAAAACTATTTATTTATCGATTATTGTTACAATATTGTCTGTTTTTTTTTCTATATATTAAAATCAATGAAGCCTGAGAATTCTTTAAGATGTTCCTCAAGATCTTATCATTGTTGGATGTATGTATTATAATTCTATTCTTAATTTCTACATTAATATGATCCTATTTTAGAGCTGGTATAATTTTGATTATTGCATGTGTATTATTCATTATTAGTCATATTTATATTCGTTGGAGTAGTTTTCCATTTGAATATCGAGATATTGGTTCAGTTTATAGCGGTTTATGGCGTCGAAATGTACTTTTCAGTGGTAGATTAGTAACATTTAATATAAAATGTACAACTGAAAGAAAACCATGCATTAAACTTATTATAGCACGGTAATATAATCAATGAAAACTTAGAATTAAGTTAATACGAAATATATACTTTTAGGATTTTTATGATTATGACTTGTATTACATCAGGAATTGGAGGAATATGTTTTTGTATTCTTTCATCATTTAAACCTAAATATAAATCTATTCTATATCTAATTGGATTAATTTTGGCATTTGTGTTAGTTTATTTTGTTTTATTTATGAATTTTAGTATTTAAATATATATTTATTATTTAGTTCTTTTATCTTTGGTATTATTGGCTTTTTATTTGGAATTAGTTGGGTTATACAATTTGAAAAAGATACAATTGGTAGTGCTGCTATTTGTGCTTTAATTGGTTCATTTCTTTCACTTATTAGTGCGATTTATGCCTTTTTTTCTATTAACTCAAATACATTGACGTAATCTATTTCATATTGTACATGTATGCATAAAATCAAAATTTAAATAAATTTCATGGTTGATCTGTGACATACTCATTCCTGTATTCAATATAAGATTGAAAAAAGCAAGAGCGAACGTTTATTGTTTATGAATATCTTAATACTATAATAATTTCGTATTACATTGATTTACAAGAAACAGAAGAGAAAGGAAAATAAGTGCGTGATTGATGGTCCAAGAATCTATTTCGCTCAGTGGCAGATTTCGAAGGGGGACGATGGAGGTAATCGCCCCCCCCCTTCCGATTTTTTTTTGATTTTTTACATCAAAAATAGGTTCATCCTACTTCGATCTGACTCAACAAATAGCTTTTAGCCAAAATCACCCCCCCCCCCTCCAAAATCCTAGATCCGCCACTGATTTCGCTCTGTATATGGGTATTTTATTTAATCCCTTGTTGCTACTGTTGAAATTCTTAAATTTGAACTTTTATCAAAGAAAAGATTATTCATTATCTAGTTTTGAATGAAGAGTTATCAAAACAATACAACCTTTTTTTTTCAATTATTATCTTTTATAAGGAGATTACATCACATCAAATAATTTTAGTTAGTAGCCTATTAATAATCATTTTCATCCAGTATTACGTATATTAAGGATACCTGTATGAACACATTAATTCTGCTTCAAACAGTTGTATCATACTTCCTTTCATTCATTGTTCAAATGATAAATATATCCTCTGAATAGTAAGTAGACTTGTTAAATCAAATAGAATGACGAAACTTATAATCATCTGCATTTTTTCTACATAGTATATATTCAATCTGATGCCACTAGTGGTAAGTATTTATATATTCAATTTCAAAAAATTATTGCGTATAACATCTTCTTGATAAAAAATCTAAATGAAATATTTTTTTTATTAATTATAAAAAAAAGGTCAATTCTTTTGAGAGTTCTTGATTTGACATAAGAAAAAAGTTCTTCGTACATATGTACAATTTCTCTTTCATTCGATCGTTTGTCTGTATTTGTCATTCATCTCGCCTATGTATATGTCCTTCGACTTGTTCTTCATGTACATTAAATTTTATTACAAGCATACATGATGTAAAGTCTTTTTTAACGTTACGTCTCTTTTCTCTTTCCTAGCATTTTTGTATTTTTTTTATCTTTCATTGTCACCTTGTTTCATACTACGTACCGTTCTGTGCCATCAATAAATAAAAGGTGAGAGTAATACATACACTCAAACAAGAAAAGTTCAGAAGAACAGAGAAGGAGAAAAAAAAATGTGAATGGCGAGAAGAAATTGAAAAGAAGAAAAAAAATGAACATACATCATATTCAAGGTTGTATTACTTCTAGATTGATGATAGTAGGTAGTTACATATGTGACAAATTATGTAACTGTTTAGAAGTACAGAGTAGATATGAACAGGTGAGACGTTTTTCTTGCTTATCAGCAATGACTATCATCGATTACTTGTCAAGTTATTTTTGATTGATAATATTATTCATCCATAGATAAAGTATAGTATTTATTTGACAATATAAATATAGCTCAAGTTATCTTTGTCTGGATGATACTTTCTGTTTAAAGAATATATCTAGAAAAGAGATTTACTTTTTTTTGTTAATAGTAGAAAATTTTATTCGTGATTATGTTTTCTTTTATATTCAGATTTATATTTTATCATGTCATCTAACAGTAAAAAAGTAACATATAAATATCCGATTGATGAAAATACTGATTATCTTGTTCCTTTACAATATGATTATAAATCTACAATACCAATACAATCAAGATATCTCGAAAATGTATCTTCAAGTTCTCCATCACCTGCTACGGATTTTTTTGGTTTAATTTATTTTCCAGTTTCATTAATTCTCTACGTTGGGATTCCCATATCACAATTTGTCATTGGTCTTGTGTATATTGGTCAATGTCCTGTTCAACAAATTATTGTTGCTTGGATGATTGTTAGTGGTATTTTTGGTATACTATTAGTAATAATTGGTATAATCATTTATATACAAAGTCGTAAGCTACAATTATCAACAACATCCTATGATAGATCACAATCAAATCGTATAATTTTATATATTCTTAAACCACTTTTTGCCGTTATTCTTCTCTTTATTATTGCATGGTTCTTTGCTGGACAAGTATTTGTATTTCAAGCTAAATTACGTGTTGAATTTTTTGATTCAACATTACCGGAATATTGTCATGAAAATTTATATAAAGCTGCATATATTCTTATTTTTATTGATTATCTTATTTTTCTTCTTGCTATTATACTCAATGTGCTTAGTTATGTTGCACCACCAGATGATGGTGATAAAAATAATCGTCATGTAAAAAAACATTCAACTCATAATGCAAAAAAATAATAATAAAAATTTATCGTGTTGCTGTAATAAAAGATAATACGTACACTTTATTCTCTATTGTCGAACATGTTCGTTTTTTTTTATATAAAAAAAGAAAAATAAACCATTGTTCCTATTCATTTTATATCAATTCTATAGAATAGATGTGATAAAATAACAAAATATAAGACTTCTTTCACAATAGTCATCACTATCAGTTATAAGATACTCCATAAAAAAATATTTATTCGTCAATATCGAAATTTAACACCAACTTGATTCATATCTCAACAACGAAATAAATTACTGGTTTTATTGTCACGGTATTAGGTAATTATCATTGATTCAACTTCTTATCATTAAATTCGTGCTATATATTTATGAATACTTGTAAAGCAATGTTAACTTTCTATAAATAGAAATGCTATATATATAATATTGATGGTACCGCATATATCATCAGACTATTAGACGATGTATGCAAATATTATAATTTTAATCTACTGATGACAACTCTCTCGAATGAATAGAAGTTATGTCAAAGTGAAGATCTAGGTTAAACCCAGCAAAAAGAGAGGAATGGTTAAAATATGTAAATATTAGAAAGATTTCATGTGAGAAACACAAAGATCAACGTTGTATTATTATTATTTGGACTCATGAACGTGAAATCGTGTTCAAAAATGATCTTCCTATATGATAGTTAATAGATTTTCTTTGAAATTATAAATAGTCCTTGAAGAAATCAACAAGTTAAGTTCAATGTTTCATATTTATCAGTAATAAAAATAGTCAACATCGTCCTTGAAAGATAAGAAGAATTCTGAAATGAGATAAATAATAACTTTTCAAAACTTATAAAAGTACATTTAATCTACCAATTAAATAATGTTCTTCTATGTCATCTTTTTAAAGAAAAATATAATTATCATCTGAATAGATTACTTAAGTAAGAGAAGACATATAAATAAAAAAGATTTTTTTTTTGAATAAATTAATTATATATAATTGACGAATATGTCAAGTAATTCGGAAAAAAACAAATCCGGAAAGTAAATATTCGGAAAAGAAATAAATCATCTCGAAAGATCTTGTAGTGTGAGTGTGGGTGGGGGTGTTGATGGGAAATAAGAATCGTCTATACCTACACCCACGGCTACAACGATCGTGCCGAATTTCTCAATAGACTCTCACTACTAGTGACTTCAGAGAAATAAGCTTATCAGATTCTTTCTAATATGTCCATATCTTTTACTTATTGTGTTTTCTATGATTAATAAGCTGCAAGTACAAATTTTTCGGATTTCTTGACAACATCTCATCGAAGCTAAAACATTTAGTTCTTATTTCTATATTAAGAACAGAGAAGTTTTCTGTAAATCAAAAGTCATATTTTTCTTCTACTTAATAATACCATACTACAATCTGTTTCATATAGAAACATTGTGTATACGCGTGAATTATTAATTAACTAACAGTTTGTAAAAAATTATTTAATAGAAAAAAAAAAGTGTTTTTTCTTTGTTTGTTTTCTCCTGATTAAAGCTAAATATAAGTAGACATCGGAAATGAATAACATTGTTTTACTATATTCGTTGATATCTGATATATGTAATTTCTTGTTTTTCTCATTAAAAGAATGAATGAAAACTGAGCTCTTATAGCTGTTTAATTATTCATGAGTATGTTGAGCAACTCAACTAGAAAATTCCATTTCATATTCCATTCTTGTCATCATTATTAAACAACCATGCAAGTATACCATGAACAACCGTGGAAAGGTAATAAAGCCGATGTCTTCTATTTCTTAGTCTTTTTTTTTATTCGAATATATCTATATATAGAATCATTATGTGGATGTTTCAATGATGGTTATACATGCTGTTATGGATTGTGGTGTTGTTGTTGTTTATATGGTCAAAATGCAGCAAAAATTGATAGTCATTCAACATGTTTAACCCATACTTGTGTATATTGTTTAATGAGTTTACTTGGCTGTTGTTGTGTTATTCATGCAGTTAAACGTGGACAATTAAGAGAAAATTATGGTTTAGAAGAAGATGTTTGTGGGGATTGTTTTGTTACATGTTGTTGTCCATTATGTGCTATTTGTCAAGAAGCTCGTGAGATGAAAGTTAGAGGTATGATTAATAACTTTCGTTTTTTTTTCTAAATTTATTTATTAACCATCTGTATATAGGGCACCCACCACCACCAATAATTATTATACATCAACCTGCTTTGTCTTTATCAAGTGCAGCTGATTTCGATGCATATGATCGATGAAAATTTTTATTAATTTTTACTTCCAAATAAAAGAAAAAACAATTTTATTTATATATGAACGATATATATTTTGAGTGTCAGGATCAAATTCCGTAGAAATTGTTCATAAAAGCGGAAAGACTTGAAAGTATTGTTTTAAAGAATTTTTGAATTAAATGGATTTTAAGAATATTTATTACAGAAACTTTTTAATTATTAAACTATTGTTGTATTGATCTCAAACTGAAAACTCATGTCTTTTCAATTTCCTTTGTAACAAATGCTTCTATGATTATTTTATGATGAAACAATGACGTTAATTTTTTTTTCTATTGTATTTATTAAAACTGAACATATAAAAAAGATGATGATGATGCTGTAATAAACATTGATATTGGCGAACATGATTTTTAATATACAAAAAATAATTTCCTTGAGATGTTGTTAAAAGCAAATGAGGAAATTAATAGATTCAAATGTACTGCCTTCTAGTCTACGATATATGATTAATATTTATTAGAGCAAAAAAAATGGAGACATGCCATCTGTGCTGCGAGCTGAAAAAAAATGTCATCTGTGTTAAGCGACCTCTTCTAGAACGGTCAACTATGAATGAACCATTCATTTCATTCTTTTTTGTTTTTTCCAACACATGTAAAAGTCATCCATCTGTCTATTTTTTTCAAGCGAGTGTTTATAGATATGGCTCTATCTTTTACATCATTTTTTGCAAAAGATAAAGTAAGATCGAAATATTTCATCAGAAAATAAATGTAACCTTATCTTTTCCAGACTTTTCGTCCGAAGAAAAATTTTGAACCTGGTAAAAGAGTTTCGATGTAAAAAAATCCTCTTTTTAAATATAGTATTTTCAAAGGTACACTTCGTTATTCTCTTCATAAACAAGCATGTGCTTCATTAAAATCAGGTCTTGATTTAAAAGAAATAGTTAAATTACCTAAAAATGAAAATGAAGATGATTGGATTGCTGTCCATGGTAATCATATGAAATTCTAATTAAAATAACAAATAAACTTTTCTTTTTAATAGTTGTCGATTTTTATAATCGAATAAATCTTATTTATGGAATAATTAATGATTATTGTACTTCAAAAACTTGTCCAACAATGTCTGGTGGTCCTCGTTATGAATATAGGTAAACTATTTATTATTAATTCATTACAATTCATTTTTATTCACTTTAGATGGTGTGATGGAATAAAATATAAAAAACCAACATCATTAAATGCTCATGATTATATGACATTATTGATGGAATGGATTGAAACGATATTAAATGATGAATCAATCTTTCCTGTACAAACTGGAATAGGAGGATTTCCTAAGAATTTTCGATCAACTTGTAAAAAAATTCTTTCACGTTTATATCGAGTTTTTGTTCATGTTTATGTACATCATTTTGATCATATTGTTGATTTACAAGCCGTAAGATAAATATATATTAATAAGATATATTTTATTTAATAATTATATAGGAACCTCATATAAATATGTGTTATAAACATTTTTGTTATTTTTGTCGTGAATTTGATTTATTGAAAAAAGAAGAAATGGCTCCATTGGTAAAGAATATTTTTAATAACTAAAATTCGAAAATAATTGATTGTTTTTGTTATATATTTAGTATGATATGACTAATCGATTATGTCCAGAAGTATTTCGAATTGCTAAATAATGATAACACATGTGAATCTTTTGTTTTGTACAATAAAATAAATACGTTTTTTTTCTTGGCTTTTATGATTAAAATAGGTTCGGATTTTGAAAAAAATTTATTCGTTTATAAAAATCGAAAAAAAAATGAAAATTTTTTAGTCCGTATAAGCAGAAAAAAAATTAATAAGGAATATTTGCTTATTTGCGAGGACTTGCACCACTATTTGTTGATGATGATGAACTATATATTCTTGTTCGTTCAACATCTTTTACTCGTGTTCCGGATCGATTAAATATTTTAATATATCCTTTTTGAATTAATATATATATAATAATACATGCAATAATCACAATAATAGCAGAACCACCAAAGATGAATCCCATGATAACTGATACTCGAGATTTTATAACTTGCACCATTTCTGTTGAATTTATTGGAGAGTTAGTTTTCTGTGTGACTGGTTTACTATATAAAAGAAAATTGTTTCTTTAAAGAAAATAAAAGTGCTAAGATATTAACTTGGTTAGTTGAGTAATTCTCGAATGATGATGGGTTGATGAAACTATTGTTGGTTGTACTGGATCAGATGACTGATGCTTTTGAGTCGATCTATTATTAAAAATAGAAGACAGGAAATCCTATTTTAAAGAATCTTTTTAAACAAAAAGCTTGTCTCGAATTTTACATTAAAAAACAGATCAGGTTATATTTCATATAATATTTCGAAATTTAATTTATTGTTAACTTACGGTTGTACTACTGGTACTATTATTGAATTCGAGCTTGAACCTAATTCTATCGTTTCAACCGTTGAGGCAGAACCTATTATGACTGGTGGAAGCGTTGCTTCACCTTCTACTGTTGTTACTAGAGCCATTAGTTCAGCTGCTACTGTTGCTTTTGGAGCCGTTGTTTCAGCTAGTACTTCTGTAGTCGATACTTCATGTGGTACTGTTGAAAGTATTGTATGTATGCTGCTAGCATTTAAAACATTAAATTCATGGTAAATAAGAAATGTATAAAGAAAATATTGATAAACAGAAGAAAATAAATTCATAATATGAAGAAATTTTAATGTTTATGAATAAATGTGAATAAAACAGAAAAATACAATAATTATCATGTTACTAAATTAATTTAGAAAAATAGCGCGATTTTACTATTGAAATTCATGTAGTTTGTTATTTCTACAATTTTGTATTGTTATAAATAGAATATGAGACAATCATTCGATGAATAAATATCTGTAAAATACATAAATTAATTTATTGAATAATTTATTCACATTTTCAAAAAGTTGAAATAATTATTTTATTTCCGTATCATAATTGTAGATCTTACTTTTATTCTTGATTTACTTTTCAATGTAAACTATTTACGTCAGGATATTATATCAATGTTAAGTGTTCTAAAGAAAACTAATTATTTTTAATATATAGAACAAATTTCTCAAGCAGATATTTCTTCAGGTTCTTTATTATGAAACATAAAGATCTCTATTGTATGAATAAAATATTTTTCGTCAAATGACACTATATTCTTTAAAAAAATTTATTCATACAAATGCATTATAATTTAACACCAAAATAAAAGTGAAATATAAAAGAAAAGTGTCATAATTTATGTTTTAGAATCACCACCACAACAGCCGCTACTTTCTTTTGGCTTTGATTTAGCTGCTGAAAATGCACCATCCGTTTTTGGTGTGCCTGATGGTTGTTTCGAAGCAACTACTTTAGCAACGCTCATAAATATTTCGGTAACATTATCTCCACGTTTAGCTGATGTTTCCATAAAAATTAGGTCGTTTTGTTCGGCATATTCTCGTACTTCGTTTGAATCTACCTGCCGTCGGTTTCCTGTTGCTAAATCGGCTTTATTACCAGCTAAGCCAATCACCATGTCGTTAGCGTTAACTTGCTGTAGTTCTTTTACCCATTGTTTTGCACGCCGAAGAGACTCTCCATTTGTAATATCATATACGACCAATGCAGCTTGTGCACCACGATAATACATTGGAGCAAGCGAATGATATCTATAATAATAATTAAGTATAATGATAAATTAAAAATATTTACAAATAGTTCTACCGTTCTTGCCCAGCTGTGTCCCACAATTCGACCTTGAGTGATGTATCTTGGTCTATTTGAAGAGTGTGTGTAAGGAAAGCTGCACCTATTGTACTTTCTGCGTGTTCCTGATACTGGCCTTTAGCAAAGCGAAGTGCTAATGAAGATTTCCCGACAGCAGATTCACCTAATAGTACCATCTTAAATTGTCCGGGACGACGCATTGTTATTCTGAGTAAGATGGTTCGAGACAAAAGAACGTAATAATATTAATGCTTCTTTTTTTAACTGTTTGTTTCATGTGCTATCTACCTGCCGAGTGTCATCTGAGTCACATGTATAAGTTACTTGCTTGCCTTATCTTTTTTTGCGATGTGAGAAAAAAAGATGTCGTAAAAAAAAAGAAGAATAAAGCGTATTTGATCTAATCAAACTAACCTTTGGCCATTATTTATAAATAATTAAGGCAATGTTCTACATTATATTAAAAAATTCTATATCTTGCAAATGAATTGTTCAAAAGTTATACTGTTATATATATATGAAAATACATTGATTGTATAAATAATAGAAGAGTGTTGTTGGAATTTGTGTCGCATAGAGACAGTGTATTTTTAGTTAATATTTAAATAAAAAGAATATGAAAAAATTAACTACCAAAAACTTCAAAATTTTATCATATAGAACAAATAATTAACAAATGAGGTGAATATCATTTGATCTCTCTCATGATATATGAAATTCATCTACAATATATCCTTCAAACTATTAAGATCAATAATAAAATTTACAGATTGATGTTATGTATCATTTCTGTTCTCTTTTACTGATGGTCACCTGTTTTTGTTAAATAAAGTATGAGTCACTTTCATTTTCAAATAAATTTACAGAACAGAATACATTTTTATAAATAAAGACAAATCAATTCTAATCATTTAGGAGAATAAAATAAATGATTACTTTCAATAGTAAATCAATCGAAATATCATATTAATAGTTTTCAACCAACATCTACATTCTCTTTACTAGAAGAGAAATTATATAAACAATCGAACTATATCATTTTCTTATTGAAACGCATTTTTATTCTTAAGTCATGATATAATCATCGTTATGGTATATTTACGAATTATTAGCGTTATGCATGCGCTATAAATAATTACAAGACATGAACCATGAAAATAAATAATAAATATGTTGCAATATAAACCACGTTGTATTCAAAAATAATAACAAAAACATATATACACTTGTAAATGTATGTATAATCTTATTATCTATATAACTTATTTTGTTGTAAGGAAGAAAAATATACGACATGTCAAGGTAATATTACTTTGTACAGAATTACACGATGATTATATATTTAATAAAGTAAGAGAATGTTTATTAATCATTTATCCTCTCGCATAAATAATTTTATATAAGTAACTAAAAGAAATACTTCAATAAAATGTTTATTTTACATATAAATATAAAATCTATTTAACAAGACTAATTATTCATCGGTTTGGTATGAGGTATTCTTTGTTGTTGTTTTGCTTTTATTCCGTCATTAGATATTTTTTTTTCTTATCGATGTAAATTCATTCAACCATATCGTTTTATTTTGATTGATAGTATAGTTATAGAGACAGCTACATATTGTGTATAGAATGTCTGTAGATACGAGTTATAAAAGTGAACAACGTAACGTTGATTATATGAGTGGTGCAAGATATAAAGGAGATTATAAAAATGGACAACGACATGGTCAAGGTAAACTTATTTTAAATAATGGCTCATTTTATGATGGACAATTTATGAATAATGAAAAACATGGTTTTGGTACATATAAATGGGCGAGTGGTGCTATTTACGAAGGACAATTTTCACATGATCAACCGCATGGAAAAGGAAAATTAGTAGCAAACAATGGAGATAGTTATGAAGGAAATTGGCTTAATGGTAAACGTCATGGTCAAGGAAAAACGACATGGAAAAATCAAGATTCATATGAAGGTAATTATGATAAAAATGAAAAACATGGTCATGGTACACATATATGGAGAAGTAAAGGATCAAAGTATACTGGTGAATGGCAACATAATCTTCCTCACGGTGAAGGTCGATATGAATATGGAAATGGTGATGTATATGAAGGAGAATTTTATGAAGGAAAAAGACAGGGACGTGGAAAAATGACGTATGCCAATGAAGATTCTTATGAAGGTGAATATGCTAATGATTTAAAACATGGTGAGGGAAAATTTTTATGGTCTAGTGGTGATTCATATCATGGACAATTTATTGATGGACTTCCAGGAGGAAATGGAGAATATATATGGGCATTAAAAGAGTCAAATACTGATTCAACAACATCACTTCTTCTTCCTCCTCCTCCTCCTTCAACTGTTGAAAAAAGACGATTGCGATCAGAAAGACGAGATCCAAAAAGGGATACTATAAAACAAACACTCGATCGTCTTTCACGACCTGAATCAGTATCAGATCGTATTTTTATTAGTACTGGTGCTTCAGAATCGTTTTAATAGGATTATGTCAAAAAGATTTTTTTTTAATTGAATAAAATAAACTACAAGTGATGTAAAAAATCAAAAAGCATAGCTCTTATATCATAAACAATGTTTGATAAATTTTTGTTTTTCTTGTTCTGACAAAAAAACTTATGTCTACATGTATTCATAATATTGTTGTCAAAGCGCCATTGGGTGGCTTATCATATAGATTTATCCTACAGTTAACATTTTTGACAGCATTACCTTTATTGCCTTTAGTTTTCTCGTTCCTGTTTGTCAAATATAATATCATTTTCATGATTAACCACCTTCACGTTCTAACAAAACATTCCAAGAGCTAATAAAATCTAATTGGCAGGTTTTTTTCTTTATCTTACATAAAGTTGTTATTTTTTTGTATAATCCTACTCGATTCTTTTGAATGCAAGCAGCACTTTTATTATCTATACATTGAACAATGACTATTTTTGTCATTGCAATTATTTATATATTTATTGGTTCTATTTGCGCACAATTCAATATATCTTGTAAAAGTTTGAATACCACGAGATCATTAAATACACATGAATTTAAAATTGAAAGTAAGATTACAATAGATTCATAGAAATTATTCATATTATTATTTAATATTTAGTGAATCAAATCGAATTACCTTCTTCTATTCGTATCTTTGATACAAAAAGTAATAAACTAGTTTATCAAATTAATATTACAATGAACAATAGTAACGGAATATTGGTCTTTCATACACCAGATTGTAGTGAATGGAATATAAGTACTAAATATGACGTGATATTGGATACACGTGATTTAAAGTTATCGGATTCAACACCTCAAACTAGTGTATCAACTGAGCTTTCAAATGTTTCTGTTGATCCTAGTTTATTAGTTCATACAACAACCGTGACAGATACTAACGTAACTGAAATGCATATGACCAGTAGTTCTAGTCATGCAACTGAATTGCCTGAATCAACCACCACTACTCCTGAAAAGTTTGTGACGAGTAAGACTTAAATTTTATGAAGAGAAAAAAATTATAATTTTTTATCTATTAGATAAACCACACGAATCTCGTTCAGCACAATTAGGTATGGGATTAGGTATAACATTTATTGGATTATTACTTATTGGTGAAATAGTATATTTTAAACGTTTTTATCATAATTCGGAATCAACGAACACCTATCCAGAAACAACTGCTTTATAGCAACATCTATCGACTCTCAGGACATTTATAGATATACATGAGAGAGTGCAAATATATCTACACATATAATTGCATTCCATCTAGCAGAAGATGCATTAGCTCTTGAAGAAAGCAAAAGAATTCTTCGGTTTTTTTCTCTTTTTCTTTTTTTTTTGTTCTGTTCGTTATCTTGTAAAAAAATATGATATAACCTATATATAAATATGTGCGTATGTACAGAGATCGGGGAAGAAATAATAGACCAGACTAAACGAGAAATAATCTAATATAATGAATTGTGACTGGACTACTCTTCCTGATATAATATGGTATTCAATTTGTGAATATTTACCAAATATAACTGATATTATTCATTTATCAAATGTAAATCATAATTTATATAATATTATTGAAGAGAATTCTTTTTGGAGACATTTAATTCGATTACGTTATGGTTCAATATTATTGAAACGTTACTGTGATGAAATATTTTCAAATAAAAATCATTGTGATTATTTATGCTCATCAAGCGAACATTTCATTGAATTTGAAAAGCAATATTTACAATTACCATCAGCAATATTACGTAATGGATGGAATCTTATCGTAACTGGTGCACAAAATGGCAATATGAAAGGTTTTGCAGCTGCTAAACGATCGAAATTTTATTTACCAAAATATTCTTCACAATTAAAAATGGCAATAGATGAAAATATATTTCGAGATTTAATTTATCATCAAAATCAAACTGTTTTATCTAAACTTATTTATTATTATCTATCGAAAAGAATACGTTTATCATTTGCGTATGAAACATATATTTGTTTTGATATAACAAGAATAAATGAATTATGTCGTCCAAAGATAATTAATGATATTACAAGTGATTTTGGTTCAATAGCTATATTTGATTCCAGATGGTTAGCAGCTGTACGCGGAGAATTTCAATCAATTATACCCGGTCGATATGCGATTATTTGTCGAATGAAATTAAATTTATTGCGTTGTGAACAACCAAGTGTTGAAGATCAATTTACTGGTGAATTTACATGTATACCTGATTATGGTATAATGAGTTCATTAGAATGGGATCAAGAATGGTTTGATTTACGTTATGTTATGAATAATACTAATATTAATGAAACTAATCAAGATAATTGTCAATGGTTTGAAGAACAAATGGGAATTATAACTATTTATGAATTATCAACAGTTTATTTTGGTTTAAGAATATGGCAAATACCATATAGAAAATATAAAATTATGTGTGATTATATTGAATTAAAGATAATTGAATAAGATATTTTTTTTTCAATTAGATCTTAAAGATCAAAATAATAATGAAAATCGAAAGTGATATCATGATTTATTTCGAAAAAATGATACGCTAACAATAGTTATGTAGTTTATTTTTACAACTAGACCATATATAAATATACTATGTTATTTTTCGAATATGTTACGTTGTTATATATGTTTTACATTGGAAAGGGTCACTGAGCTCATTTACCAAATAAAAACATTAATTTAGATTGCAATTATATCTCACACATTGATACTAAAAAGTTTATGAGATAGTTAATGATTTATAATGAGAATAAATTATTCCATTTATTCGAGTTGCTTCTAAATACTCTGCATATAATAATACTGATGTACTTGACTTATACAAATAATAACTATAAAAATGCGATTGTAGGTCATTGAATGTATCCATTATTAACAAGAGTAAATTTTATTGAACAAGAAACGAAAGATGAGAGTCTATCTCTACACAATATATAAAAAAAGATTACAAATTTGATTCGAATACTATATATAGCAATATCTATTACTCGACATACTGCTAACAATAAAAGAATTCATCTGTATGTTAATAATTCTATTACGAATTGAAGTGAACCGACAATCATCGATATTTAATGAAATTAGTATTAAGTGGAATAAAATGATATTTTTCTGTAATCTAATAACTTTGTATGCTAAACAGTTAAAATAGAATAAAAATAAATATTCGTATTCTATTTCAATTTTGTTTCGTGCTAACAATGAAATAGTTTTCATTATGTTCATCTTAAATACGAAGTCTACAATTGACAGAAGTACGACTAAATGAATACACTATTGATAATCTTTATTTTTGTATAGAGCGAGACCAATGTATATATCTAATAATTAATTATGACTGTGATTTTAAAGATATTCAAATGATAAACTATATTATTAAAGACATAAGTAATATATCAACTATCTATTATTTGAATTAATAAACTTTGATGAAATACAGTTTACAAAAAAAATATGATTCTGAAGTAAATACGCTGTTTCTAAATATTTACTTAACCAATAGTTTCTTCAAGTTCAAATAACACTAAATTATTCATGTAAGTTGTATATTCAGCTTGACGATTTTGCATTTCTTGAAGATAAAGTTCATGTCGTTCTTGTGCTAATTGAGATATTTTTAATGAAGTAATCATTGTATTATTTGATGCTAGTTGAAGTTGAGCATGACGTGCTTCATCTGTTTGTAACACAGACAGTTTATTAATACCAGCAATTTGATTAATCATATGTTCACTTGATACAGCATAGTAGGTTTTGGCCATAGTAAATAATAAATGAGCACCACTTTCAATTTCTGTAGCAGCAGGTATTAACATTTCGACAAAAAATTCACGATCAAATGGATCGATTAATAAATTGTCTGTCTGAGCTTGTTGTATAAGGCCTACAAAGTCATTTACAACAATCTAAGAACAAAAACAATAAGAAAATAGAAATATAGTTAAATATTATTTTTACTTGTTGAGTACTATGAGCTTGAGCAGCTAATTTTGAAAAAAATTGAATCATATGTGCCCATTGTTCTTTAATTAAACTTATCTGTTCAGTAGCTTTAAGTAGTAATTGAACAATTTCTTCTGTACTCAGTTGACTTAAATCAAGCAATGCCATACTATTCATGGTTTTAGCCAATTCATTTTGTTCAGCTAATTGAAGAAGAAAATGCTGATTATGAATTTCTTCAGCACGTTCTAATTCTTCTTTAGCAGCTTGTGCGATTTTCATAGCATTCTCAAATTTTGTATTATCAACTGTAGGAGCTGGGCTCTTACATTTACCAAGTAAACAGCCAACTGCGTTGAGAGGATTGAAGACAACTTCAATAGCAAAGCCGACTAAATCCATTAGCGGATTTCCACCTCCGACAATAGTAGGTGCTGATGATGCAGAAAGTGCTGCCATGGCTTCTGTATATCTTTTACGAGCAATCTCTAGATTAGATTTCGATTGATCATATTGGTTTTTAATACTTGCAAGATTTTCTTTTAAACGTTCTTGTTCGAGAGTTGCATTTTTTCTTTGTTCTTCCATTCGTTCAATATCTGCTTCATTCGTTGACTGAGTACTTGCACTTAATTCAATAATTTCACCAAGTAGATCTTGTAATTGATTGAATTGAAGAAGTGTTGAATTAGCTATATTCGCACTTTCTGTTGCTAAACGACCTACACTTTCTAGTGTACGTGGTAACATAGATTTGAGCATAGCATCTGATGCTGAAGTTATTAATTTCAGTGCTGTTTTTACGTGTGTGGGAACTTGTTTAATACTCAACTGAATTCCGTCCATTGCAGTATGGGCTCCCATAAGAGAATTGTACATTTCAGTAGATACTTGAGCAAGTGTAGCACGAAATGAATTTGGATATCTGTAAAAAGAGAAAATAGTATAAATTCTAAACAGATATTAGTTTGTTTAACCTAATGTATCGATAAACATATCCACTTGGTGCATGAAATGGAAAGTCTCTTTTGCTAGCAATTACCATTAAATTACCCATATATCCAACAACGATGGGTCCGGAGACCATAAGCGTTTCCCATTCTTTATCAATGTCAGTTTGATGTATCAGTTGATCATCACGAAGCGGATTGAAAACACTTGTATCAACACGTAATTGAATACCTATAGAAAGATAGAAGTGTGAATAAATAAATATAAAAAATCTATAGACTTACCGCGTGCCGCAGAATCATTATTATTGAACAAATATCGAAGAAATTCATCATCATTCATTTTTGGAACAGCCATAATATCTTTTGTACTCATGTGTGATACCGTTTCAATATAATAATCCAGAAAAGGATCTTCTGATGGATCAATAAATAAAGTATGAGCACTTTTTTGAAAAGAAGCGGATGTTACAAACATTAACTTCATAATAAACATACAAAAAAAAACTGAAAAAAAAACAGTTTAATAATTCTATTTAAAGAAAGACTTACTTCGAGCCATCTTTATCTATTATAGTTTGAAGAATGCACGTTCACTGTACTGCTATATTCAGTCAAGTCGCTTCTTTTTATAGGCTTAAACTTCATAGTCACAAAACAGCTGTAACAAATAATTATTTTTTCCATCAATTGGTTCATGGATATCTTTTCGGCGAAAAGCAGTCTTATCTAACAGACATAGGTTCGAAGTATGACGAGAATAAAATCAGCAAGAGCTTGATTGATGAGAACAAACTTGTTGGTTGTGCATCTGTCGTTGTTTCTTTCTATATATAGAAAGATATTCAAAATCATTTGTATTCTATACAATATTTCTTCTTTCGAAGAATATTTTTGTGTAATTCAATCGACGATAAAATGATCAGTTGTAAGTATTTTTCTTAAATATAAACCTGTTTTGCATGGGAACTAAATACATGAATCTAAAGTTCATCATCGACTCGAATAATCTTTTCACTAAAAATTAAATTTTTATTATAGTACCTTTATTGATCTGTTTGATGTATACAATGGCAATGATGACAGGTGATGTGTATGCAACAACACTTGATCATCCAGTTTTTCTGCCTACAGATAGATCATTGAATCCATTCAGTGATCGTTTCATACAAAGAGTTATTAATATGGACCGTCAAAAACTCTATAATATTCCGCAAATGGATGACGATGAGTTTTTACTAGAATTAATGCACAATGATGATACATTAGGTGGTAAGTAGCAGAAAAGGATTCTTTCTTCACAGTATATATTTGTATTGCCTGTAAAGATACAAGATCTTAACTTAAATAGTAGACTTATTTCTAAATATTCTTCTAGGTTCGTTATCTCGTGCTATGGAAGATGATCCATACGAAGTAATTTTTGATGATAAACTTGATGATCAACTTACATTACAAGATAATATCGATGGTGAATGGGTGTATTTGATGTCCGCCGGACCGCTAACAGTTAATTATATTGGTAATCTTCTTGTTCTTGCTAGTAAACGTGACTTTCCATTGACTCCTCCACCACATTTTACCTTTCAATACATAAAAGATCCAAGTTCTTTTAAAGCGACACTTGCCCAAGTCGCAGGTTCTATGTTCGCAGCTCTTCATGGCGCGCACACCGCTATGGATAGTATTCAACTCAAAGTTCAACAAGTACCAGGTCATGTTAAAACAGCTCTCAAAATAGTTCTTGCCGGTTCACCTATGATAATCGAAATGATGCTTCCAAACACATTAAATACTATTGGTAGAATTGCTAATGAAAGTGCCTCACTAGCGAGAAGAACATTTGATAAATTTTCTTCTGTACAAGAACTTATTGCTGAAATTATAGAAGCAAATACAAATACTCATTCATCACAAACGAATATTGTTGCTCAAATTCAAGCACAAATCGACAACGCTAAAGATGAACAACAAAATCTCAACAACAATATTAATTCTATCACTAGTCAATATGATGATGCTCGACGAGAACTGGAAAAAGCTCGCGAAGAATATCAATTAGCCTATAATTCGATTCCGACTGTTCGTGGATGGTTTAAAAAAATTTTTCGTAAAATAATTAATGTAGTCGTGGCGATTGTCACTGCTCCACTACGCATCCTTGGATGTGTCTTAGGATTATGTTACAATAATCAAGCTGCTCTTCAAGCAGCACAAGCAGCAGCTGAAACAGCTAAACAAAATGCTATAGCTAAAGCAAATCATTTACGTCAATTATTAGAGGAAGCTGAAAAACGTCATGCTGCTTTCGCTCAACAACAAGCAGCTGAACAACAAAAACTCATTGATATAATTAATAAAATTGCTGCTCTTGATTTAGATAGACTGAGTGAAAAAGAAATTATGGATATTCTTATTGAATCTATCTTACAAATGAATCAAATAAAAGAACAATGGGGACGTTTGATTCAATTCTTTTCCAAATTAACCATTCAAGCCGATAGTACACAACAGGTAAGGAATAGTAACATTTATTTTTTCAAAAAAAATTACATGACATATTTTATTTTCTCTTTATCTAGATTATTGTACATGAATTCATCAATGCCATTAAAGACGCACAAGCACATAACGTATTAATTGAACCAAGTGATCGAGAACTTTTTGTTGAAATTTTAAGTATTACATGTCAAGAAATAGAACGAGGTGCTCATTTACTCTATGTTATGTCTAAAACTTATTATGATATTTCTTCTGATTATATGATTGGACAAGTTCTCAGTATGGATAAATTACTTCAATTACAAACGTCTAGTGAACGATCCGCTCAATTACGTTTAATCTCCTCAAATACAACTTTAATTTCAACAAAAGTTATGCAATTAGCTCAATCTCGACAAAATGAGTATAATATACGTAACAAAGCACGTCGCGAAGAATATGAACGATTTTTAGCTCAAGTAGCTGAAGAAGATTTAGAAGGTTCTATTGGTTAAAATTATTTTGAATATTGATAAATAACAAAAATGTAGATATATTAGAATTTAAAAAAATAAATAAACAATCTATACATTCTTCTATATCTAGAGAATAGTTCTTTATTGAATGATATGTATTTATTTTTAGTTTTTGATGTATATTCGATGAAAAATTTCATATTTTGAGTATATGATTAGAAAATGGCTCGCTCTTCGGCGAAATTTAATTTTTTTATTTTTCTTGATTCTTTCAGACATATTATATGATGATAGGCTTATCAGTATCAATACACCTGTTATCAATGATTTAAGATGCAGGATTAAAAACATATTATCACTTTGTTTTCGAAAAGAAGTAATGCTTCTGTTTGAGAAGATTTCACAGCTGATAATACAATGAAAATCACATGTTTAATATCTATAAGAAAAGAAAAAGTACATGAAAAATGATCCTCTTTCATATGAATAGCTTTATTATTATTTTATTTTAATTTCTAACTACAGCTAATAAATAATAAATGATCATATTTGTTAAAGATAAATTGAATTCATTTAGGTTTTCGAAATATTTTATCATTATTTCATAGAATCTTAATTTTTATTAACATATCCAATATATAGCCTTTAGATGTTTCAAAAAAAAGAAATAATTTGAATAGTACAGTTTTCTACCATACTTCAATTGTTTTGTAAATCTTATTATCATATATGCATTAATATTTACTGATATCTTTTTAATAAAATATTTACCATTACTTAAGATTGTTATTATAAGTCTTTCAAATAATAAATTGTTTTCACGGAATGATAGATTTTCATCTAATGTGACTATGTTTTCGACGAAAAATAATTTTTGTGCTAAAATAAGGATTAAGATATTTATTATGCTCTTAAAGTTATGATTTAATGGTAAAGACACTAAATCCTTCGATAATGAAAAGCAAATACATGAATATTTCTGTCCGTATTTATACCCCAATGCAATTCCTATCTTTCACGGACTTCTTCATTGGAATAAAAGTTAGTTATTGACAATTTTCGAAGCTTAATTATGAGTAAGTCTATATTTATTCTTAGTAATTCATAATAAATACATTTTTAACAAATATTATCAGATACATTAATCACCTTTCTCACGGTTGTGATATTACTGATCAGCAAAACCTATTCTGTGCCTGTTACCGAAGATTATCTGTATGAGACTACAGTAGAAATGGCTACAGAAGCACCTACGACAACAGCTCCACCTACGACAACAGCTGTACCTACGACAACAACAACAACTACTACAACGACTACAACTACAACAACAACGACTACAACTACAACAACGTTAGCTCCTGAAGTCGATCGTGAATGGGAAGATCTCATCTTGGCTGGACCTACAGTAGTCAATTATCTTGGTTTATTTATGGTACTTGCATCACGCAAAAGTCAAATTTTAACTGCTCCTGTTGGAGTTACGCCTCAATATCTTAGCGTTGCTCAACCTTTACCTGCCATACTTTCTCGAATATCAACAGATATGCAAACTGCTTTTAAACTTGCTAGTGATGATCTTGTTCGTACTAGAAGTAATATGGATCAAATTCCAGATCATATAAACGCAGGTTTACTCTTAATACAAACGGCGCCTAGTGCTCTTTTAAAGACACTTTTACCATATACATTGAAAAATGTTCAGCGTGCTGCTAATGAAGGAGCAGCTGTTACTAAACCAACACTTGAACGTTTTCTTACGGTTGAAGCAATACTTAAAGAACTTGTAACATTGCTTACCTCTACATCACCAGCAGAAGGAGAAGATGCCGATTATTTAACGGAAGCAAAAGCCTATGCGAATGATATACAAACACAATGGAGTCTTTTGGTAAAACTTTTCAAAAAATTCTCAGATCGAGCTGATATCACTGAAACAAGAATTACCAACAGTTTTATTAGCCCAACTGAAGCAGCAAATAATCTTACCACTGAAACCCAACGTCGCAGTCATCTTGATAAACTTATTCCAGCTGCAATTGCTATTGATCAATCGTCACATCTATTAAATATGATGGCACTTAGTTACGATGAGATATCAAATGAACATATGGCAAACCAAATTGTCGCACATAGACCATATCTTGGTCTCGCAACGGAATCACTACGAGCATTGAGTCAACGACAATTATGGCAAAGTACAATAGCGCAATCAGTAAAAGTTGCTCGACTTGCTCAAGTACGTCAAAATGAATTTGCTGCTACAAGTCCTGGCCGAAATGAATTATATTCTACTTATTTAAAAGATCCTGTTGCTGCTTGAATTAGAATAAATAAGACAGAATAAAATACATATTAAAACTTTGTGTTTGAATTATTAAATAAAATTTTCAAATACTATTTTTAAATCTATAAAAGAATAATAAAACTATCCATATTGTAGATAAAATTCGAGTTATTCATCATTAAAAATGTGGATGTTTTTAAGTAAGTATAATAAATATATTGTCGATTGAAATATCAAATATCAACTGTAGCTTTATTTATTTGGCTTATAGCCAATGATCAACAGTTTATCTTGGCGAATTCTTTAACTGAAGATCTTTCCATCGATTCTATGATAAGCTACATCACAGGTAAATCTTACTATTTCGTTCGAAAGAGAAAGCATCTTTACAAAAAAGAATCATTTCAGAAGTTGTTTTATTTTATGATAAGATTATAGGAAACACAGAAATTTTCAACATTCTATTATTTATATATATATCATATTTAGCAATTGCACCAAGAGATCTTGCTGAACATAAGATTGAAAATGAACGTTTAATTCAAGAATGGCAAGACTGGATACTTGGTAATGTTATGGGTATTAATTATTTGAATAGTTTAATGGTACACGCTTCAAAACAAGATTTTGCTTTTACTATACCGAGTGGTTATTCAGTTGGATATGTACAAAATAAAACATCTTTTCGTCAAACAGTCTCTCAATTAGCTACAGAAACACGTAACGCTTTGAGTGGAGCGCGTGAAGATTTAAATAGAGTGCATACCGGTTTAGAAAGGGTTCCTGAAAAATTAAAAACAATGGTTTTGCTGATGAAACAAGCACCATTTGAGTTACTTTTAATGCTTTTTCCTGATTCATTTAATGATATAGAAAAATTAACGAACGATAGTCTAGTCGTACTTCGAAAACCAGAAAAATCTTTTGAACAAGTATTAAATCTTCTTACTGAAATTAATCATCTATTAACCACGACACAAACAGATCAAATGATTTCTTTACAAGTATCTGATATTAAAATTCAATGGACATATTTAACTCAAATGATTAAAGAATTATCAGAACGAGCAGAAGTAACACGTAATAAATTTTTATTACAATTCAACTTTGTTTTAGAACAATTTCTTAATCCTGTTCTTGGATTTACTGATCGTGATCGTAATGTATTCATTTCAATACTTTTAAAACCAATAATTGAAATTGATCAAACATCTGATATTCTTGGAACTATTACGAAAGTTTATACTGATATGTCGTTTCTTTATACGGATGAAGAGTTAGGTAGTTATGGACATTTAATTCTTTTAACAAAGGAAGAAGATCGTAAACGATATTTAAAACAATTCCAATATGGTTTATTAAAACAAGTGATTCAAATAGCACGACTTGCATCAGAACGACATTCAGGATTTATTCGACGTGATAAAAATCGAAAAGCAAATTATGAAAAATTCTTAGCTGAAACTTCGCCAGATGATTTAATGAGTCTACTTGGTTGAAAGAACGAATAAAACGAGAGAGATTTACCAATTTGTTTTCTTGTTTTTCTTCTTAATCATTCAATGAAAGAATATATTATTTAAAATCTTATTTTTTTTTACATTATTTCACTTTTGACAAAGAACTATTTGATTATTTTAGTATGTTAAAATATTAACAAGTGCATAAGCGCGATTTATATTACAATACTAACAATGAGTAAGTATTTATATTCATAATTAATCATTTGTGTATAATCTATTCTTAGATAAAATTATTCCGATCTGGATATGTACTGTATGGCTACTGAGTACAGTGATGACCGAAACAGTAGAGATTGATTTACGAGAAGGATTAATTTTAAATGTAACACAAAGTAAGTTAGGTATGATTTCTGTTTCGTATATAAAATTTGATTCTAGAAAGTTTGTTTACACGAAATTTAACTGAAGGAAAAAGTGGTGATCATCTTCTAACTGAACAATGGCAAGATTATGTTTTAGCTAATGCTATGCTTACAAATTATTTAAATATTCTCCTAGTTCATGCATCAAAAACAGATTTTAGTCTTGACAATGGTTCAAATCAGTGTACACTATATATCAAAAGTTTGAATTCTTTTCGTCATACAATTATTCAACTAGCTGATAATATACGACATCATCTTACAGATTTATGTATAGATATGCATCGTATTCATAGGAGTTTAGAAAATGTTCCTATTCATTTAAAAACTATTCTTGTTTTGATTAAAAAAGGAAGTAAAACTCTAATTAACATAAAATTATCTGCTTTATTGACAAAAAATGAAAATATCGTTAATGGTTATTTAAAAATCTTACGAAATTCAAAAATAAAATTTGAAGAAATCAAAAATCTTCTTGCAGAGTTAAATTCTTTAATATCTATGTTAACAATTAACAATGTTATTACTTTACAAATAGAAGATGTCACAATACAATGGAATTTTCTTACTGATTTATTTACTCATTTAGCAGTTCAAGCTGAAACAAGTAGTAATTATTTTCTTCTTCAATTCAATTGGATTTTAGAACAATTTATTCAATTTGATATTGATACTAATCGTGATTTAATTATTAATTTACTTTTATCAAAAGTTATTGAAATTGAACGTATACTTGATCTTCTTGCGATTATATCTGAAATATATGTAGATATATCATTACAATATTCAAATGAGAAATTAATAGATAATTCAAATTTATTACTTATATCAAATGAACAAGAGCGAAAAGATTCTATTCGACAACATCGATATGAATTACAACCACAAACAGTTAAATTTGCACGACTTGCATTGACAAGACATGATGAATTTCTTCAACGTAATCAAAATCGACAAATAACCTATGAAAAATTTCTAAATGAATCATCTCAATCGGATTTAAATATTTTATTAATGAATTAATTCAAATATATTGTCTATCAAACAATTATTCTTTTCAATTCTATTCTTAAAAGTTATATATGATTGTATAGACATACGTGATACTATTTTACAAAAAAAAAATAATAAACAAACGATAATACATCGTTTAAAAATAACATTCATACGACGAGATAGAAAGAATTCTATCTGTTATCATTCATATATATATTCTGAGAGAATGTATCATAAAAGAACAGAAATATATATCTGTATAGAATAGAAGTATATCATGCAATATCAAAGATTAACGGATGATTCATCGTTAATAATTACAGAAAGTGGTGAAAGTCATCTATTAACATCATCACTAGATACGAATAATAATTTTTCTCGTATACGAAAACATCTTCTTATTCTTTTAGTTATTCAATTGGTGAGTTTATAAAATTTTATTTCGGATTTGTTGATACTATATCAGAATATTTAGATTGTATGTGTAATTCTTCTTATAATTGATATTCGACTTGTAATCACAGGTAAAGATGATAATTATGGACAGGCAATGCGTGCTTTAGGACCAATGGTATTTTCATTTATCTATTATGGATGTGGTTTAACATTTATATATCGATATAATCATGTAGGAATCTATACTGTAAGAATTTTGTTTTTCATTTATTTTCATAATATTAAGCAATATTTCTATTGATAGTTCACTTGGTTAGGTTTTTTACAATATATATTAATATGTGGAGAAATATTTTTAAATATTTTCAATATAAAACATCCATCACATAGTACACAATCGAGAATTGGCTTTCAAATTAGTATGATAATGATAATTCTATCGATATTACAAGCTGTATTCATGGTTATTACACTTAAACTTGCTTTTAAAATACTTCATTTAATTAAAATTTTTAAACGTGATGTACTTCAACAACTATAAGATTTTTTTTTTCATATTTATATATTTTTACATTCTTAATCATTTTAAATAAACTTGTATACGCGCGGTTGCTAAACATACTATAAATAGAATATCTATTGTATAAAAGAGAAAAAGCAATTTTCAATGTCATCATTAATTTCAATTGGAACATCCGTTGTGGCTAAATGGCCATCAACATCGAATTATTATAAAGCTCGTATTATTGATTATACAGATAATAATCATTATGTTTGTCAATTTTTGGATGGAAGTGTTATTGCTTTACCATCGAAATATGTTGATTTACCGGAAAAATTTCAACGTACAACAAAAAGAATTAGTCTTATGCGTAATGAACAAATATTTCTCGATCATTCTCTATCTTTTTATTCATTAATTATGTCTCTCGGTTGGATAGGAATATTTTTATATGTACAACATTGGTTTCATTATAATCCTGATATAGATAACTTGAATAGACCATTAAGTCATGCTCCATATCAACAATATCCTCTTATTGTCATTCAATATCTTCTATTATGGTTTATATTACAATTGATTTTTGCTCGATATTTTCCACATATCGGTAAAGAAGAACTTATTTATCTTAAAGAATCTCAACCAAGTATTTATTATAAACATCATTCAAATAGTTTATTTGCTTTCATCATTACTTGTTTAATAATGTATATTTTTCGAGAACAAATTCCATTAAGAGAATTAACCAAATCTTATTATTTATTGGCTTTATTTAATCTTGGAATCGTACTTATACTTAGTCTTATTTTATTAACGAATAAACTTTTTTCTCGTTATTCTTCAATATCATTTAATGAGCATGATCATAATCAAAAACAAACTCATTTTGATTTTCATTTATTTATTTCCATTCGTCCAGGAATTATACTTTGGCCAGCATTAAATCTTCTTCTATTATTAACTATTCTTAAATATAATCGTCAAATATCTATTCGATTTACAATTTCAATTCTTCTTCAAACTATCTACATTATCAATGTATTTATAAATGAAACAACAATGATACGTCAATCATTAGATATATCACCACCATCATCTTTCGATGCATTATTTACTAATCTTTGTTGGGTACCATTTATGGCAACACTTACTTCAGTCTGTTAGATTATTTATTAATCATGCCATATTTAGAAAATGTTTTTTTCTTTTAATTATAGTTTTACATTGGAAAAAGTCATCAACCTGTTCATACATATATTCTTCTTTCATCGATTATTTTTTTTAGTTTGGGCTTTTTATTACAACGTCTTGCTATACGTCAACGTTTGTAAGTTATCTTAACAATAATTTACGTCTTATATTGATAAATATATATTCATTTTTAGAGCATTTCAAGCATTAAATAATTCTAATATAGATGATTCTGTTATGGTCAATGATTCTCAACGAATTCTAACAAGTGGTTGTTGGCGATGGTGTCGTAATCCTCATTTATTAGCTGAAATACTTATGGTTATTGGCTGGACATTACCAGCTGATGTAAAATGCATCGCACCATGGATTTATACATTTTATATCATCGGCATGACTATTTATAAAGCACATTATTTCGATCAAACACTTCGAAATACATGTACTACAGGTGCTTATGAACATTATATTGAACATGTAAAATATACACTTATTCCTTTTATCTATTAAATAAAATTCTATATTATATGTATTTTATCAAAACTACAGAAGAAAAAAAGATGTTGAAATAAAACTAGAGGAACAAGGAAAAAAACAAATTGAGAAATAGTATGACTGATACCAGTCTATTCATCGTCTTTTCCACGTTTGATAAGTTTAGTAAATGCAGCATAATCAAGAAGACCTTTAGGATCAACTGGTGCACCTTCAAGCATTTGATTAAACTATAAAAATATAAAATAAATTCATTATATTCTTTTTGTCTTCTTCTTACTTCAACATCAGATAGTCTTTCCGCAGGTTTTCCCGTTGCTGTTAATAATTCTCGAAGACTAAAGGAAAATAGATATTATTTCGTTAACAAAAAAACAATCAATAACTTACGCGTCTTTATTGAGATTACCCTTTCCTTCGCTATCAAATGTTTTAAATGCATTCATTAAAATACCTTCTTCATCAGTACCTATTATTATTATAAAGAGAAAATATTATTGAATAAATAATTATGTTTATTTCAAACCATTAAGTCGATCACCAAAAAGTGTTAATAATTTAGTAAAATTGACTGGTCCACCAGTTTCTTCAAGCATTTGTTTAAGATCAGATTCTTTTGGTGCTTTACCCAACGATGAATAAACTTCTTTAAGATCATCCAATGAAATAGATCCATCTCTATCTTGATCCATTAATCCAAATGCTTCTTTAAATTCTTGGACTTGTTTTTGTTCAAACATAGAGTAAACATTACTACTAGCTCGTTGAGCAGCTTTTTTTGCTTTTTTCTTTTGAACAAAAAAAAGGAAACACAATTTACAGTTTAATAAACCAAAATATACATATTAGTACAAACTTACATCAGCCATTCTATGTGATCTATATGGTGGAAGATGAATGTTATTCTGCTAGTGTATTGTGACTATGTTGTATGAAGAAAAGAATAAGAAGAGAATCAATAATAACAAAAGAGAAAACCTTGGGCGTATCTCTCAAGAAGAAAAAGATCATTGTATCGTCAGTATTGATGTTGATTTTCGACATGATATAGATTGGTGATGTAGAGAGCAAGAGAAAAAGGTGACTGACAGTCTGATTCTTCTTTAATCGTGATCATACGTATCCTGTGGAGAAATTATGTCCTTTTTTTCTATGATAATTGTAAATAATCATGAAACATCTGCCTTTATCTAAGCGACAAATACTACAATACACAAAAAAAAGCCAAAAGAGAATATTATCAGTGGAATAGAAAAAAAAAGAAGTCCATCATAGGTTATTTCTATACTTGTTATCCTCTTTATCAGCATGTCTTAACGGAACGTAGATAGATAATTAGTTTATTAAAACAAATTATTGAAATAAACAAGAAAAATTGTTTAATATTTTGGATAACAATCAGACATATTTGTTATCAAATTGGATATCTGATGATATCATTCTTATGCGAAAGATTTGTTTACAACAAGAAAAATAAAAAATATGAATATAATTAAAATCATGCTTGACAAGAAAAAAAGAATAAAAATAGGTTGATATTATATTATGTCATATATTATATGTAAGCATGTGTGTCGACCTCGTAAGGGAGGTTGATACGTTTCTCTTTTCTATACATTTTATTTTATGATAAAATCTTGCTTCGTGTGCGTACACGGACAGAAAAAAAATCACGGCTGGTAAACAATCTTCTCGATTTAACTAGAAATTATTTATTATTACTGAATGGCATTGGATAATATTATTGATTCTTATGAACGTGATGGTTTTATTATCGTACCTGATTTAATTGATAGTGAACAATGTGATAAACTTAAAACTGAAGCAAAGAAGATTTTGAATGAGAAAGGAAATTCGGATGCATCTGTTTATGTGCATGCATCAGTGAAAAGTTCACTTTATAAACAATTTCATCAAGATCCACGTATACTCAATGTTTTAAAGAAGATTATGCCCGATGGTATAATGTTTTTAAGTGATAAAATTGTTGTTAAAACAGCTGATAAAACATTTGCTACACCATGGCATATTGATTGTTTTTATTGGCCTAATGCACGATCAAAACTTTCAGTTTGGATTCCTTTCGATGATGCAAATGCTGATAATGGTACACTTACCGTTGTTCGAGGTAGTCATAAAAAAAACTGGACAATGATAGACAAAGCTCTACCAAATGGTGAATTTGTATATCAAATAGCTGATAGTGATATCAATAAGGATGATGTAGTTATATGTACAGTCAAACGTGGTGCTGGAATTTTCTTTTCTGATCGTCTTGTACATGGTTCAACAACAAATAGTGCAAGTATTGATCGTTATACTGTTATTAGTACTTATCATGCATCTGCAGATGATGAACCATTTGATCTTAGTTTTCCCGCTCGTGAAATACTCAGTTACTGAATAAAAATTTACATACATGCGTACATAATAATGTTCACGCGATTATATTATATATTCATAAATAAGAATTGAACAGTGCACGCCATCTATGATCATTTTTTATTATATGAAAAAAATTAAAAAGAAAATGATTTTTTTTCTTGAATAAAATATTTCTTTGTAAAAACGAATTTTTTTTTGAATGATCTTAATCATATATTTTTTTAATACACCATCATGGAGTTCTAATCACCATCTGTCAAGATGGTCACTGACGAAGAACAAGAACAAAGAATATAAATATTGTATTCAGTGCCATTGAACAATCGATATATTATCTTATTTTGTATAGTAACTTTCAAATACCGTAAGCATGTTCTATACACATGCTATATTAACGAAACGTGGTCCATTAGCGCGTCTTTGGCTTGCTGCGCATTGGGACAAAAAATTAACAAAAGCTCAAATATTTGAAACCGATATACGTCTTAGTTGCGAATCAATTCTTGAACCATGTTTAAAATTAGCATTACGTACAAAAGGTCATTTATTACTTGGTGTTGTACGTATTTATTCACGGAAAACAAAATATTTATTAGCCGATTGTAATGAAGCATTTATTAAAATTAAAATGGCTTTTCGACCGGGTATTGTTGGTATTGATGGATCGAATAATCATCATGCTGGTCAAGATTCTGATACACGTGAAGTTTCAATTGCAGCTATAACACTACCGGAAAATTTTCATGATTTTGATTTAATCGATCTAAATATTGAGTAAGTTTATTTTGAATTAAAAACAAAAAAAAGAAAAGAAAATCTTTTTCTCTTATTCAGTTATATTGATGATCCATCTCGTTTTCAAATACATCAAGCACGAGCAGAAGAAATTACACTTAAAGAAGATTTTATTAGTGTACCAATGCCACTTGATGATGATTTCGGTAAAAGAAATTATTGAACGAAATGTTTTAAAAAGAATTTTCTTGTTTGGATTTTTCTAGGTGATGCAAATGGTCTTGATGAACCTGAATTCTTTCGTAAACTTCAACCATCACTTCATTTCAATGCACAAAATTCTAATTTGGATATAGATAGTATAAATAGAAAATATTTTATTTTTTAATTTGAAATTTATTTTTCAATTTCAATAGATACAATCATACGAAAAGAACAAAGTATGAGTCGAACAATTGGTGATGATCCATTTGCATTAGATGGATTTGGCGATTGTATGTTGAATTTTTAATTTTAAGATTAATTTTTTTATTCATTTTGTCTTCTAGTTGCTGCTCCAGCATCAGTCATTGGTATTGGTGGTGATAATTCAAATCTTTCAAATGAAAGAGATCAATATGATCATGTTATGTCACCATTTCATCGTAAGTATATAGGTTTTTATTTATTTATTTATCTGTAGAATTAACTATTTTTAGAAGATGAAAATGCACCTGGATTACCATCACTTGATGATCATCAAGCACCAGCAAATGATCAAAATCAAGATAATAATATGGATATGGATCCAGCACATATCCCAGGTGTTGATGATACAACACTTTTATCAAATGTTTCTGATGAATTTGTTTTACCACCAATATCAACGGCAGGTAAATATTAAAGAAGAAAAAAAAGATGAAAGTAAATTTATTTTAATTCGATTTCTTTTATTTAGCACAAACATCAACTGTACGTCAAGCAGTTCGACGTAAACGAAAATTAGTTATTGATGAAACTAAAGAAATCGATAGTGGTGCAATGAAAACACAATTAAGTGATACAACAGATATTGTTGGTGTACTTGAATTAGCACCACCAACACGTCGTTTAATGCATTTAAAAGAAACAGGAGGAATTGAAAAATTATTTTCACTTAGTGCTACATCAATTTATTCGAAAACATTACAACAAGTATTAATAACTATAATATTTCATTGAAATTTCATGTCTATTTTGTTTTATTTTAGTTAATCACACGTAATATGATTACAAAATCATTAGACCAAATGGCACCAGACAATTATCAAATCCAACATGATCTTGCTATGGAACAACTTGAACGTGAAAGAGATGAATCATCAATTGATCAGATGCGTGCTACACATCATCATTATCTTGAAGTATTAGGACATGATCCATCATTTATGGGTGCTGGTGGTTTATCACCAAATCGTTCGAAAAAACGTGGTCTATCACCTCATGATGATGATAATTTCATAAAACATCAACGTTCTGATGCATTACTATTTCCACCAATGACAACATCAATGGATAATCTTATGGATGTTATTCCAGGTCCAATGTCACCAACACGTAAAAGTGGACGAAAAGTTCATGAACTTAATCAATTACCACCATCACCATCACGTACACCAGGCAATATGCGACGTAAAAAAGGTATGGGACATTTAACAAAAGAAAATCAAGAAGAACAAGATGATGAGGAAGAAGAACATGGACAAACAACAACCACAGCTCAAGAAGTAAATATTTAATAATAAAATAGAGAAAAAAATTTTTTTTCATTATGATTTATTTAGGATTTTGAATCTGGTAAGAAATTAAATCGTCGTGGAAAAATAATGCTTAATGCATTTGAACGTGCATTTGATTCTGCTGATGCACTTTCATTTCATGATCATCTGTCATCGGGTAATCCAAATTATCATACAAGAAAATTAACAGCACAAAAATTTTATACATTATTGGTACTTAAAAAACTTCAAGCAGTTGATGTTGAACAAACGGAAGCGTTTGGAGATGTTATGATTACACCTGGTGTTCATTTTCATCAGTATATGACAAGTGGTGGAAGATGAAATGTATATTAATTCAAGAGATACTATTAAAAAAACAAAAAACGGTGTTGTCAGATGTATGATGTATGTATTGTTAAATAAATTCTTCAATATACGTATGTGTCTTTGGTTTTCTTTCCGTTCGAATATTTTTCGATGTCTTTATTTCTTTTTCTCAATATGTTCAAAAATGTATTGTACATATTTATATCAATGTTTTGTGTAATGACTTTGTTTATTGATCTTCAATTGTATGATAAACTTCATTATGTTTGTTTAAGAATGATTTCATTTATCATTCTATTGTTGTCTTCTAGAGTATTGTGTGCTCTCTTTTTTCCTCATGATCTTTTTGTGTTTATTATATCCTTTCTTTCTGTATCTGTATTTCTTTTGATTGTATTTGTTGATCTAGTCGAATTCATCATGTTGATATGGTGATCGATGATGATGATAATGATGATGATGCATATAAATTAGAAGACAACTTTAAATAGAAACAATGACATTCTAATTGATAAATATATATATATGTATATCTATATGACAAAATGAATGAAATTGCTATGGTATATTGTATTCAGTCTTAAATTACTATATCAACTGGCAAAGTTAGATGAATTATTTGAAAATGAATTTTTATTTCTTAAGTAAAATAAATTTATACAAATATTGACATTTAATTACAATTGATAAAGTTTAAAATTTTTCTTCGTAAAATCGAAATCTATATGTTGTACAATGATTTCGAATTGCTTCACCCATTGTATTGGGCCCGCAAAAGAATACATTAACATCATTAGCTGTTGAAGCATTTTCACCTGAAATCAGTTGATTAAATATTTCATCCCATTTTGGTCGACCAATATGTGTTTTAGATTTTAAATTTGTAAATATATCTTGTCCGGCAACTTGAGCCCATACTTTTGTTACAAGATCCAATGGTACATTACCTATATTTTCATCATGTTTTATTTCAGTAAAATATAAATGTATATCAAGAAAACGCTGTTCATCAGAATTTGATGCAAGATAATATTCTTGTTCTTGTTCAAATTGACGAAGAAGATTAAGAAACCATTCGAAATTTTTTTGATCACGATTTACCCAAATAAAATCAACTTTTTTTAAACGATTATTTTCTACTAGACCTTTTGTATGATAATTTATATGTTGACAATGTTTACATACAATACGTGATGCACGAAATTGTGCCATAAGACTTGATAGTATTGATGCATAAGGTGTAATTCCTATGCCGCCACCTATAAGTACAACATGTTTACAATCAAATACATAACGTGCACATGATGAATAAGGTCCATTGATAATAACAGGCTCTCGTTTAGATGATTTTGATAAAATACTATCATCTTCATCATTATCTGAATTACGTTCATTTTCCTCTTGTAATTCAGTTTTTACTCGTTCAGGATTAAGATCAGCACGAAAAACTTTTATATGATTTGCTTCAGCGTCACCTTCTGACATATTGATAAAACGTTGATAGACTTGTTTTGTCCAATTACCAACAGCTTGCATATGTATAGTCAAATAATTTATATTTTCTGGCGCACTGCTTATTGTAAATGGATGAAATTCATAAAGTGTAACACGAGGTAAATTGATAGTTATATAATCACCAGGTTTGAAACTAAGATTTAATAAATTGTCATATAAAAAACTTTATGAGAAAAAAACTTACGTAAAATTTTTTGGTCGATTAATATTTAAACTAATTACATTCGATTGTTCTATTGTTACAAAACGAAGATATGTTCGACCGCTATGTGATGAATAACGCTTTAGAACTGAATATAATTTTTCAATTAAAAATAAGAATAAAGGACCGATAATCCATTTCTAAACATATTAATAGAATAATTCTTCTTAAATAATATTACACTTACCCAGAAGTTTTCTGCATGAATAATAAGAATGACAAAAAAAGGAAAATAAAGTAGATGTGTCCAGTAGAAAATCTTTACATATTAAAAAATAATCAGTTTATTATTGTTAGTGTGAATAATTATATTTCAATACCTGAAAATGACCACCTCGTCGAATCCATTGCATTGAACAGATAACAATAATAATAAGAATAATACATAAAATAATTCCACTTAAAGGAGCAAAATCACCAATCCATCCAATACCATGTTTTGTAGTAAACTAAATAAAATATAGTAAAATTTCAACAAATAAACTATTAATAATCGACCATCTTACCATATAGACACCCCACGAATGTTCTACAACAAACATACAATAAAAAATACTTTACTTCTTTTATAGAATAGTACTCACCTGTCATTCTTCCAAAATTAGCCATATGTGCAATGGTATGTAGAATAGCTAAACCAGTAATAACACGTCCAACAACTTTATGAAAATCAATATGATCATCTACAGGTATTAATTTTCTCAAAAATGTATTTGTTCGAATAAGTAAAATCGTTTGTTTAACACGTTGACTGTCCCCATACAAAAAAATGAGTACTTGTTCTACGTCCATTTTTTACTTTTTTCGTACTTTTAAAATATATTATTTTTGAAGTGTATTATGTTCATATACCACAAAAATAAGTTTTAAATATATCTTTGATGCTTTTTTCCATGCAACACATATGATTCAATTGTCTCTCTTAGAATAATACTATAGAGAAAAACTTGCTAGAAAAAACACAAAATTTTTTCCAAATCAGCTTCCGTCGTTGAAAAAAAATTCGAATTACCGGCGGGGTGTGGGGGGGGAGTACACCCTCCCCTGCCCCCTAGCCCCCCCCCCTGCTCCCGTGAGTACTGCTTACATCATGCCGATAAATTTCAATAGTTTAAATATCATATGCAGCGCGTGCATCATATGTGATGCACGGGACGTCTCAGTCCAAAGTATCGTGCATCACATATGATACACCGGACAGTCAACGTGTTAAGCATAAGTACAATGATAAATGCACAATTAAAATTTAATAACATTCCTCCAATACGTGCAAATACGACAAGTATATTTGATTTTGTAACAGTTGAACGATAAATGACAACATATAGAAGTAAAGCAAGATTAATCAATATATAAATAATAAGGAGAATAATACGTGAAAGATTATCTTTGATATAATCAATAGTTAGTTTATTTTTTTGTTGTTCATAAATTTTTTGTTGCCAACAGATATTAGATAATAATCGTTGTAATTTTGATTTTTTTTGTGGTAAAGATGATAATGATTGAAGAAACCATGTTGGATGAACAGTAAATTGTGATAAAGATTCAAGTAATATTGTATCTTTTGAAACAATTGAAAAAAATTCTTCAAAATCAATTTGTTGTTTCTATATAGAGCAAGAAAAAATCTTTGATTTAACATAAAGTTTGTTTTTACTAACTTACTTGATCAAGATGAAATTTTTGAAGTAATGCTTGAATAACTTCATGTAATCGATTACTATCAAATGTTTTAAGACTTTTTAAATACTGTTCATAAAATTGTGATACACCAATATCAGTTATATAATCATCACTATCTGCATCAAGTACCATAAAAAATAAGAGTGCACGAACATCTATTGTCGCATTTAAAACTCTTGTTAATTTTTGTACATGAATTTTATCCAATGAATTTCTATCTTCATTCGTATCTGATGAGTAAAGAACATTAACAAGACGTTCAATAATAAATGGCTGAGTATTAAGTAATTTTGATGCTTGTTCAAGAGACATTCTATCATCAGATAGATTATCACTAGTTCGACGTGCAAATATTGGTAATGAAGCTTCAGGATCATTAAGAATACTTTCCAATTGAATTTCAGCTCTTTGACGATTTGTTAGTGTTCGATGCATAAAACTTAAAATAAATTTATTTTTATCATTTATCATATATATTTTACTGACTTGCTAAAAAATCGATCACTAGTTTCTGATGGTATTCGTAACATAGATGATAGAATTGGAACTGATCGATTTGCATGTTTATGTTTTAAAGGACGTGTTTGTATTTGTTTTGGATGTTGCATAGTTGTGGTAACAATAACTGCTGCATCCGAGAATTCATTCATCGGTAGAACTGTATGAGATGGTGAAAGACTAAATAAAATATTATCATTTTTTTATTGTAGAATAAAGATTAAAGGATTATAACAAAAAAAATTTATTCGTACCTGGTGGACATTTTTTATTTGTATATAATATATATAAATAATGTAATCATAAGCTATATATATATGTACGAAAAGGAAACGTAATATTATATTATTGTTATATAAGAATGATGTGTCGTTATTGTATGAAGATGACAGATTAATTGGATTTATTGCTTTAGGTAAGTGATGCGAGACGATAATAAGAATCGTGAAAATGCACTCAACGTCCATGATAAAAACTATTTATCTTTTGAATCATACGCAAAAAGAGTAAAACAGGTACATTATTATGATATATTCTCTTTTCTATTTATAGAATTGTTAATTTAGTACAGAGAAAATGTCCTTGTCAACTTTCTCGCTAGAAATCATTAATTACATATTATCGTCACATCAGTAAAAAAAGATTTGTAACTGTATTAACAGATATAAACAAGATCTTACGAATTTTCATTATGACTCTAATTTATCCGCAGAATAAAGACATTTGTACAAATACTAGATGCTTGTATCTTGTATAATTGTATTTCAATCAATGCATAAATAAAAAAATACTATGGCTTTTCTTTTCTATTTTCAGCCCAAATACAGGTAAATGTGTCATTTATAAGGTACTTTCAAAAAGTAAAAACAAAAGAAATTTTGATCAATTTCTTATCTTCAATATATTGTTGAACTGATTGCTGTTTGAGATGATTCATTAAACATCTCTTCAAAGTTTTTAGCTGTATATATTATATTTTACATAAATGGATTCAATTAATCGATGGAATCTGATGGATGGATATCCGAGTAACTCACTTCATGATAGTCTCTCTGTTTCGAATATTGAGTAGACATCTGAAAATTGTCAACTTAACTTAATTCTACAAGCCTATAAACAATTTTGCACATCATAAACATTTTCAATTGACAAACTTTTGTTAGATCACTAAATATAACTTGCAGTCAATTGTACAACGTTTAGTCTTTTTGCTGATTGATCACATAATGCATTTGTTGAAGTTGGGAAGTGTTAGCTTATTCAAATTCATTTGACTGTTGAAGGTACGATAAATATTAGACCTACATCTCCACGTGCTCTTTCAAATTAAAAAAATCTTAACTTTTTACCCTTGCTTGGTCCATATCTCTGCACAACGCTGTGGAATCGGGCTGAAAATTTCATGCGATGCGTATGAGCTAATGCTGAGATTATTTTTCAAGTGGGGGCCTAAGGGAAACAACTTTTATTGGTAGTACCGTAAAATATCAACAGAAAATAAACAGAATTTAGTTTTCGAGATAATTGTAACATTGTAAGTGAACACCAATGTCGTTTGAACCAACATTTATGACAATAATATCAGATTTGTTGTCATTGTTTACATCCGCTATTGTTACTGTAAGTGGCAGAGGACCAGTTTCAAAACTACTTCGATTTGTGAAAGTGGCATTGCCGGCATTGAAATAAATAACGAGGTCATTCGAACCATAGTTTACAACAATAATATCAGTTTTGTTGTCTTTATTAATATCGGCAACTGCTACTGCTATTGGATCACTATCACTTGAATAGATAATTTGAGTATTAAAAGTGCCATTGCCTGTGTTGAGAAGAACACCAATACTATCCGACATAAAGTTTGAAACAACCATATCAAATTTTTCATCGCCATTCACATCAACTACTACTACTGCGCTTAGACTAGAACCAGCTCCATAAGTAGTTTGATTGTAAAACATGCTTGTACACACTATTAAATACAAGAGTTTTTATTTTGTATAAATTATTCTATCATGAGAAATCGAAAATTATCTGACAATTAATGATCTTCATCTTCCTTAACTTATCGGAAGAAGAAAATTTTTTTTCTAATTAGAATCACTTTTTGAAAAAATATTTCAAAATTTGACTTACTAGCTGGTGCTTGTCTAATACCAATAGTAATTAAAGTTACAACACCTGCTTGTGATGACATACTACCATATTCGGTAGGAATGTTTTCGAACAGTTGACAGTTATTACTAGATTGATCAAACGTAGCTGTACGACAATTGATATTAGATAAGCAAGCCATTTCACAACGTCGCAAGTTCGATACGGTGACATTAGTAGAAGATAAACAACCTATACTAATACATTGATAATTCGTATCACCTATTTTAGAAAAGCGTATTGAGCGCATATCATCAGAGGTTGCTTGTGCAATAATCAAAAACAAAAGAATTATGATTTTGTGTGCCATATTTTCTATACCTTGTACGTAAATGTTATTCACTTGCTCTAAAATAAACAAAGATGTCTCTCATATCTTTAATTTTAGACTGATTCTGAAACATTTTTTGTAAATACATGAACATCCGTTAATCATTTATTAAGAAAGAAGTTCTGAAAAAAAACAGTTTCTACCAGAAGTATTTTCGTGCAATCTGAATAATAATCGTAGTGTTTTGAATTATGAAATATGTGCAACTCAAGTGAATCTTATGTCCTCTTGTTCATGTAATCAATGACTTTTTCTATCCAATAAGACTGTCCTGAGATGGAGATATCCTTAAACAAGTTCTTTATTTAAATTTTCTTTTTGAACAAAAAAGTTGTACGATTCGCTAGTCTCAAATAAATCCTGATAATTATGTTGATTCTTACCGTATACACTTTAAAATATGAATTCCAGCGAGTGTAGTACAATTGATCAGTATATTGGCTTTGTTAAATTATAATCAAAACAAATTTTGATACAAAAATTCTTGCAGCAATAAACAGACAGACAACTTAAAAGAAAAGACAATGGTAATGTTATGAAGTACAAATGAGGGAGTGATAGAAAATATATTGAATATATATATAGTCAAGATAAGTATTTTTCTTAAAAAATATATTTTAGTTTAAAAGAAAACTTCTAAGTATGATGCATTTAAGTAGAAGGAACATTAATTTTCATCTTAAAACGTCTGAAAGAAATTCTTAATATAGAAATATTAAATTTTACTAATAGTTTGTTGAAAGTGCTCATTTCATAATAAAATAAAAGAATTGCTTTTAAAAAATACATTTACTTGAATATTAGAATAAGAAAAACGTTTTCTTCTAGTCGAAGATAATGTACAATATCTTAATATAGAACTTTAGAAGAGTAAGTCCTACATAGTTTCTTCTAGATTGAGATGTAACTGTTCTGTATCAGCTGAAGAAAATCGAGAAGTATCATTTGTAAAAACTACTCAATATGATTGCGATAGTAGTATGTCGTAGAAATATAAAGTTGAAAAAAAAAGAAAGTACTTGTTAATGGAACTATGTATGAACTCGTATCATAGCGCTCATTGTTATCTGATATTCTCTAAACACTTATATTTTTATCACTCCGACATCCTTCTGACTGTGTGAGTCCTGATAATACATAAATTTGTAAAGGAAACCATCAGAGAATAAAGTGCTGAATTCGAAAAGATTCTAATGTTAAATATTGATTATTAGTGAGAAACTTAGTTGATACAGTGCAGGACTTTATTCTTTGATCGTGTTTTTAATTGATAAATTGAATACTTCGCCATATTTTTATTTGAATTGTAATGGTTTTTTGAAGATGATCATTATTCTTTTCTAGACTTTTCCTTTTTATATCTTCAATCACGAGAATGCAATTAACAACAATATGTTTTCATCGCTTTTAAGATACTAATGGATATATAATTTATATATCGAACTAATAGTTTGCTAATGATTTACCATATTTCTTGTAGTGAAGAGTCCAGTAAACATAAATTGTATGTTTGCTTGCTTGTGTGTTCGCAGAGTCAAAAGAACATCAGAAACCAATTTTTAGCAAAAGACATTTCTCGAGGTATTCTGATACAGGGAATTCAAATGTGTACTCCATTTGCTCAGACTATTGAAGGAAGAAGATATCAATTGGGACAAGTGACGTGGACTGATAGAAACTGAGTTTTCTCAATAATGCATTTTTATGGGTATCCAAATATACCGCTGCTTGTAGTGCAGAGTGTGGCGACCATAAACTGTTGGCTTTCTTGCATATAATATTACTAACACTTCACTTATTCTTTAAAGGCTAGTTCGAGTAGGATGCGAGTATCTGCTAAGAGTAAGGAACAACAAAGGAGAGCAAGGTTTTCAATTATTTTTCTACTAAATGTGAAGAGGATCCATTTCTACGAAAAAGAGCTGAGCGAGCCCTCGGACGAGCGTTACTTGTAATTTTCAATGAATAAATATGTTAGAGATGGTGTCCGCTGAACGAAAACTAATATCGTGCAATGCACGTCAGCAAATTTTTTTAAATAAGACTCGATTGTTTATATTTGATGATAAATCATCACGATTAGTGTATAACTGTTAGCTCCTGTTCGTAAAAATGAAACTAAAAAAAGCTTACGACACTCGGTATTCCCAGGCGGTCACCCATCCAAGTACTAACCAAGCCCGA